TAGGGCTTCCAGGGCCACGGACCAGCCAATAGGAGCCTTGCATTACGTTCGGGGCCGAACTGCAGGGCTGACATTCCGGTCCGTCGCCCGAGCCACTCGAATCCTCCTCCCCTATTCTATCTCGCAACCTGGAGTGCTTACGTGGCGATACGATTCGCTTGACAGTACATGAGGTTATCCCTTTGGTGTGCAAATTAGCACAAGCTAGTGTATGACGGGCAGCTGGATACAGAAACAAGGTCTCACAAGGACCGCTATGAGTACTCGCCCTGTGGCGATCGCGCCGGCGATCCGCAAGACTTCGTCTGATAGCAATGCGGGTGTTCCGACACCCCCCACTACGAGGCCCTACAACTGTCAACCTTGCGTACGTAGGAAAGTCAAATGCGACAGGGCTATGCCCTCCTGCGCGAGTTGTCAAAAAGCCAAGCTCGAGTGTTTCTATAAGGTACCACAACCACCACGGAAGCGGAAACGCAGGGAAAGCGAGGATGTGTACCAGCGCTTAGCACGGTATGAGCGCATGCTACAGGAGAATGGCCTTCTCTCGACAACCGAGGCACGATCGCCCTCTTGCAGAGGAACTCCGGGAAATGTGCACGAGGATAGCCCTCCCCACATAGCGCAAAGCGATGCCGCAAAGACAGGCAGGTTAGTATCGGAGGATGGGAAGTCACGGTACATTAACAGTCGAGTGTGGCTCGATGTGGCGGAAGTGAGTACGCGAGAGCTGTCCGACAATGAGGGAGACGATCAAGCTACGCCCGTGACCTTGGACTTGCCAACGGATGATCCGCTTTCTGCGACCCTGCTAGGGGGGTCGAAAACCCTCTCAAGCTATCATCCTCCCTATCCAGACGCCATGAAGCTGTGGACAATCTATATTAAAAATGTCGATCCACTCTGCAAGGTCTTGCACATACCCACAACGACTGAAATGATCGAAAGGGTCGCACAACAGCCGACCGGAGCTACTCGAGCGCAAGAGTGTCTTCTATTTGCGGTCTATCATTTCGCTGTATATTCAATCACCGACGAGGACTGCATGCGTGAATTTGAGAGAACAAGGAGTTCGTTGATGTCAACGTACCAGGACGCCATGCGACAAGGGCTAGTTAATGCGTCGTGGTTGAAAACAACCGAATTGCAGGTATTACAGGCCTACGTGCTTTTCCTTATGGCAATGCGCACCCGAATAGATCCACATACATTCTGGATATGGACGGGTGTCGCGATTCGTATTTCGCAGCGTATGGGACTGCATCGCGACGGAGAGAATTTAGATCTACCTCCTTTCGACGTTGAAATGCGAAGGCGACTTTTCTGGCAGCTCATTCCCGTTGACGGTTACGCCGGTCAAATGTCAGGCACTGGCATTTCTATCGCACCGGGTGATTGGGATACGAATCAGCCGCTCAATATCAACGATGACCAGATATACCCCGATATGAAGCAGCCACCCAACGCACAGCACGGTGCCTCTGAGATGATCTTCTGTCTGACGAAAGCCGAGCTCTCTGCATTCTATGCCCGCAAAGCAGTACAGATGAATTCTGTCAGTTCGAATGGTCAAGTGCGAGATAACGCACACTTGGAGAGGTCAATAGACCAGCTTGAAAGTGACTTAGAGATGCGGTATCTGCGATACTGCGATATCATAAACCCAGTACATATCTTAACACTTGGAATCGTCAGGGCGGCCGTAAACATGGTACGCTTGCGCAGTCAGATGCCGTTCCTCAAGAGTCAGAAGATTGACGAGGCACAAAGACGGGAGCTCTGCGTCCTTGCGGAGAAAATCCTCGACACTGACAACGCTCTTTACGCCAATCCAGATCTGCGGAGGTTCCAGTGGCACATCAAGACGTTCTTTGTCTGGGACGCGATGATATGCATTTTGAGTGGCGTGGCTACAGAAGGGTTCCTTTCGCGCACAGAACTGGACCGAACATGGGAGAAGATTATCGTTGCCTACTCAAACCACCCGGAAATACTTGAGAGGAAGCGGGCACTCCATGCGGTAGTGACGGAGATAACTCGGAAGGCGTGGATATCGAATCCCCCAAGCAACTGTACGGTTGAGCCGGCGTTCATTAGCACGCTGCGATCCCAGCGCGAGACCAGGGGCTTTGGACGTGCACACAACCCCGACAAGACGACCCGGCTTGATGAACCCGCGGAAGCAGCGGATCTTCTTGATACCTTTCTTCAGAGCTCTGAAGGGAATGACTTGTATTTTGACGGTAGTTTTAGCTATGGGGCCGCAGATTGGATGTTTTGGGATCAAGCATAGTTGGTTGATCTAAAGGTGCACACAATGAAGTAAAAATGCTCGGTCATAATACCTCGAGAAAGTGGTCCCTCATAGAGTGATGGACCGAGCCTGCCATACAAAAGCCGTGCGTTAAGCTACGTATACTTGCCTTGATGAAAGAAGCTTTCCGGAGGACCAAGATAACTATCACGCACACCACCAAGATCCACCACGATCTTCTCCAAGACACAGTTTTCATTTTGAAGTCGGACACGGAGCGTGTGAAGGCCAGGAATGCCAAGATCTACCGAATGACGGCGAGGCCAGATGCTGTCCATGACGGACTCATGCCACCCATCAGGGAGCTTGCCAGGCTTTTCTACTTGGGCTACCAACCGGTGCGAGGCTAGAGCCCCATCGTCGAGCTGAATGTCGTATGTAGTCGGTGAGTTGGTATCAGTGTCCAAGGTAAGTGTAAACTCGAGGAACAGGGTCGCATTGGTCTTGGGTGTGAATGTAATGAACGGATACTCAAGATAATCTGACTGAGATGCCGGGGTCCCAGCAGCCAGAGCAACGCCACCAGTAGGCGTGCGACCTATAAATGGAAGGATACGATATGACGATAGAGGCGACTTTATGAACGACGTGGCGTGGATTGAGACATGGCCCTCTGCTTCGACAAAGCCAGTGACATCTGCAGCAAGCGTTCGGTTTTTTACTGGGATGTGAATCTGCTCGAAGTCGCCCAATGAAGACCGTAACTCGACAAGTAACATATCGTCAAAATGGAGAGGCACTTGCGCCCAGTCCACAGATATCTTCACACGTTCATCGCCGCCTTTTGGCTGGATAGTTCCCGAAGATGGTGAGAGAGAAATCCAGCGGTGCGGTGATGTGACAGCCCAGGATACGGATTTGCTGCCACGGCAATAAATCTCGAAGTAGCGAGACTTGGCACCATAAGGCTCCATAGAGGGCAGTGTCACTCCGGCGACAAGATCGCGACGGCTAGGATGAGTACGATCGGATTCTTCGTTCGTGAGTCCTGGTCGAATACCGGGAGTTCCCTCCACAGCGACGCCAATCCAGCCAACCACGGGGTTTGAGTCTTGTCGGTTTTGTACGAAACAGAGGCCACTGATCATGTCTCGGGACGGAGCGTGCCATAATTGTGTATAACCATAGTGCGGCTGGCGCATGATATGATTCCATTTCCCGTTGAGAAGAGAATGATATTCCTCGCTAAGGTTAAAATCCTCTTCGAAGAGGCGGAGTGCCTCATGTGCCCAAGTATTCGCGGTATTGCGTCGTTGTACTGCGTAAAGTTGATTCTTTGCCTGTGCAACTCTGAGCGCGACATAGATATAACTGGCTTTGATTGGATGAAGGATCAGCTGAAAGTACGCCGGCATCATGGACGCAGGAACTGATTTCTCTAGTTCTTCCGCTTGGCTCAAGAGCTCTTGCCAACGCCGCAAAATGTCCTCCGCTTCGTCATAATTGATGAGAGAGAATGTATCTGGTTCAATGTGCTCATGCTTCCGAAGGGCGACTAGCCGGTCATACCTTAACAGCAACTCCGAGCACTGTTGCGACACAGCAGGCCCAAGATCAAAAGTACGCTCCGTGAAGGTATAGAAAAACTCCGGCAATTGATCCATTTGCAGGCGTCGCACATCCCAGGCGAGGGTCAGAACGAAGGTCAAAGGGACCTCCAGGGGCTTCAGATCTCCCACGTTAAAGACCCAGATGTCATTGGCTCCTCGATTGTACGTTTGCTCCAGCTGCTGCCAAACCTTCGCACACGAGTTGCTATTGAGCCACTTGTAGCTTCTCGGAGCTCCGACGTACTCCAGGTGGTAATAGATCTATATGCATCAATGAGCTTTGTGTCGAGCTAAGCAAAGGCCGAACCTACACCTGCTCCTCCACGCCTGGTCGATTCTTCCCCCGATGGTAACCTGCGGACTGTTCCAAAATTGTCATCAGCAAACAGCAATGTAATGTCCTCGGGGATATGGAGCCCGTTTTCGTAATACTCTTGGACTTCCTTGTATAATGCCATCAACTCTACGGAACTGTCAGAACCTTATGTCAGTTTGTGCGAGTAGGCTTAGTCTTACGATGCACCCCATCTTCAGCCCCGTAGGCCTTCTTGAGAATCGATCGTTGGGTGGCAAGAACATCCTTGAGCACTGCAGGTGGGTCCTCCGCATCCATTGCTTTATCACCATGTCCTCGCATACCCATGGTGATATAGCTCTCATACTTCCTTGCTCGATCAGCGCCTTCCTGGAAATACTTGGTGATCTTCGGTTGGTTCTTGCTCCACGACCAGCTTTTCTCCGGCTCATAATACGGATGGTCGAACCATTCATTCATAGCCCTCTGCATTGGCTCATGGTGCGAGGTGGACATCACAATACCATATTTATCAGCTGTCTCCTGATTCAAGGGATCATCCATGAAAAAGCTGCTGCCTGGGTGAGGAAAGCCGAACCACATAGCTGGCCATAGGAAGTTCGCCTACACACAGTAAGAAATGGTTGAAGACAAAGATGAGGCCACGTTATCATACCTTAAGTCGAAGCAGGAGTTCAAAGACTCTCTTGTAAAAGTCCACATTGAACTTCGGTCCATACTTCTCGTGCACCCAGCCAGCCAAGGATGGAGCTTCATCGTTGATGAAGATCCCTCTGTACTTCACGCTCGGGGGACCGTTTTTAGTGATTACATCCAAGGCATAAATCTCGCTGCTTTGCTTTGGGGGTACATCTGCCCACCAATACCATCTAGCAAAGTTAGTTTGGTCTTCATCGGACGGCAGAGGTCAACTTACGGAGAAACTCCGATCTGGTCGGATAGCGTATATACGCCGTAGATCGCACCTCTTTTGTCACTTCCAACAATTACGAGGGCCTTCTTTGCTCCTTTAATCGCGTCGTGAAGAACTGTCGTCATGTAACACTCCCATTGCCCGTCGATTGCTGTTACGTCAAGCTTGCCATCCTGAACCAGCTGCTGGATGATGGACGACCGAGTGATGCTTCCCAGAACAATAGCAACCTCTGAATCGGGGTATTGACTGAGGTTCGAAATGATCGGGGAAGCGCCCTTGCCAGTCACTCGCGCGAAGTCTTCCGCGAGGGCTTCAGCGGCGATATGAACGCCTTCGAAGTCTCCCTTGTCCACCAGGATGGGCGCATTGGTAATATCTATGCACCCCGCGGAGGGAGCATGGCTTGCGAATACAGGTTCGTACATTTGTCCCGCTGCTGGGTAGAATGGCGGATATCCTTTTCCCACTGGCGTTTAAGAGTTCGTTTTAACATCTAATGCTGTCTAGTGAGCGGGTTGGCCTGTCCTGATAAATGTCTCGGGAGAAGCACAGGCTTGTGGAGCAACTGGTTAATCCCTGCATGACCCCTCCGCAATTCGAGATGGAGATGTCCATTGATGATCCCCTCGGGTCAATCTAGTCCGAGCATCTATTCTACATTGGCGTCTCTCGTGGTACCTGAAGATGGTCGGTATCTTCTGCTGGCATTTCGACTTGAATGCCTAGTATTAAACTGGCTACGCGATGGTCAAGCACACCAGGCACAGGATAACAGTATTGCTAACAGTCCTCCGTATCACTGACTAATTCCTGGTATATACATCTGGCGAAGGTACATGCAATATAGCATACGTGTGGTTTGGCTAATGGCTGTGGAGTTACTCTCAGGCTCGGCACTATAATCAGCCGACCGTCACTTCTGCCTGAGTCTACGGTCACCTCTGCTATTGCCACTGTCTTTATCTTTAATTCCCACGGCGGCCTTCCCTTTCTACACATAAAAAATAAATGAATAAAGAAATAAGTATTCCCGATTGAACATTCGAGGAAATGCTAGTAAAGGTCTTGCGCGTCCCATTAATTATCATGGTCAGACACTTGGTACCAAAGCCATTCCTGATTACGAAAGGATATTAACGCTCATCTGTTCATCGCGTCGAGTGAATTACTGAACCGCGTTGTCCTGCAGGGCTTCTGTCTAGGGCTTTCCTATTGCTTGCTTATATCCAGAGAATGTTCAGACGTAAATGTTGATCAATCATCTAGCTTCCTATCTATTTATTTACCGTCTATGTATTCTTTACAAAAGCTAAAGAACCGTTTTGCGGAGATAGGAAAATGCACTGATAGATGGCTCTGTTTTCCTGCTGCATATAGTTAATTTGGAATATACGCTGGGAACATTTAATAAGCCTATTATCAAATCAAGCTTTAGGACGGCATATATAAAGTAAAGTGGTTCCCAACCAAAAAGGTCCTTTTCAGTTCAGCCCACCAGTCTTCATACTTACTTACCAGGCATTGTTGTCCGTAACCGTTTTCAGACCGTCAACATATCTTGCCTGCTCTACCGGACAAACTAGAGGCTTGATTCAGTAGTCCGACATAATGCGGAAAGCAGAGTGACAGATGACAAGGCGGGCGCAGCAATCCAGAGACAAGGAGGTAAGCACCGCATGAGCTCGTTTCCCATGGCATTGCCTCGCGGCGGTCGTTGGCATGAGCGTAGACGCGTCTGGAAGTTCTATCAGGCACCTAACGTCGTGTGGGGATGAGCTTCCTCCGCTCCCTAGTCTTCTCCATTTATTAACTTATTTTCAAATTTATTCTTTGGTCTCCAATCATTGACGCCAGACCACGAACACAACATCTGCTCTTCTAGGGTTATAAATATCAACAAGGTGATTGTGGTAGCAAGAATAGCATCATCACAGCCACTTCTGGAAACCGGTGGGGTCCTCGCTTCCATTGAATCTGGTAGCCTAATTGTATCGGAGGACTCCGAAGAGGAGGTCATCCAGCCCGCTATATCAAGTCTAGCCACTGCTGACACCAGACCACACTCCGCATAGGACATTGTATTTCCTAGTGAACAGCAACAGAAAATGAAGTTAGTTGTAATAGGATCGCGACATACTTGAAGTCCAGTGTTGTTCCTATACTAGTTGTGATAATTTAAAGGTTCTGAAGAGCGACCCACCTCGTAGCCCTAAAACCCATCTCCGCAACACAAGTTGGATCGCAGTGGGTCTTCATGTGTTGGTGCATGCAGACACTGCGCCACCACGGCTGTTACCTAAATCTTTAGTAACAATAACCTTACACCCCAGAGGATTGGTCAATTTCCTCCCCGATCCAAGCAACATAGGGTAAAATTTCGATATGGTGGATGCACCGTGCACTCGATCAAGGCCGTTGCGCTGAAGGGTTGCATCGCTATCATCGCACATAAAATGGCATGGGGCGCCAGGTTTGAGTGCCGTTAACTACCAGCAAGTGAAGATCAAAGAGCCATCAGTCCTGGGAAAATGGAGCCGATACAGCTTGGAATCCATGTGGTGCAATCCGTGATAGCATTGATCATTCTAGGGTGCTCAATCTATGGTGTCACTATAGCATCGACCACGACAGGCTTCGGGCTTGCTATTTTCACGGTGCGTGTACTTATCTGCTGTGGACATGAAATTCAGATCCCATCCCAGAGTGTGATACCCGTTGCAAAATATCTAACAAGCTATCCAGGCCATTGCAACGATCCTAGTTGCCATCTACATTCTTACCGCATCTTTCATTGCCAAGAGCATCTACAAACTCTGGCTTCTCGTTGGAGCCAACTGTGTCACGGCGATCTTTTGGATTGCGACAATTGGTACATTGGCATCACAACAACGCTGGAATCATGAATGCCAATACAATCACGGTCATTGCTATAGGAAGCGCGATGGACATGACAGTCATGGCGTGCACGCCGCAACGATTGCGCTTAGCGTTATTGACGGGTATGTCACTTGAAGAACAAAGTGATTGAATCTCAACTGACATAGAAAGTATAGCCTCCTATCGATCGTTTCTATTGGGTACAGTCTATGGGCCAAAAAGAATCACCGTACGAAGACTCCTGCAACTGAGTGAAAAGATGATTTGCAGTCAACAAGCCGCGATAGCACATTTCCAAGCTGTTGGCTGAGCTTAGATTCAATTTTTAAGAGATTGATGAGAAACGTATAAACCATGTGAATAGTACCTGAGATTGCCTGAACAAATAATGTAAACGAATGCAAATGATAATTAAACTGAAACAGAAATTAACGAACAAAAGTAGCCACAAGAAGTACAGAAGCAATTCTTTCCCAATGAAGAATTACTCAGCACACGAGCCTGCCCTCTTCTCCATGCACATGCTGGAGACGGCTCGTTCGACATTTAGAGGGCAGGGTAAACAACTAATCAAACGCGATGATGAACTTGGTGGCATTGTGTCTCTCAAACCTGGCGTATGCCTCCGGAGCTTCCTCAATATTAATGACATCGCTCACGATGAACCCAGGTCTCGCTTTGCCAGATGTGATAAGATGCAGAAGCTCAGGCGCAAGTTCAATAGGCTTCGATGGTCCAGCCCCCCAACTGAACTCTCCATAGAAAAATTGTGCAAGTGAGAAATCGACATGAGTATTGACGGTTGAGGCACGAGGTGCAGTTGAGGTATTATTGGATTCCCGTGTGTAAACTCCGACTGTACCCAATCCGCCGCCAGTCGAGGTGACACCCAGCATGTTACGGATGATAACATCTGATTGCACGGTCAGGTTCCGGTTCACCTGCTCGTATCCGACGGCATCGATACTCCGAGTAACACCGTTTGGTTCCAATGCCAGTATCTGCTCGACCGGGTCGGCATCGCGGAAATTGATAGGGATAGCTCCGATGGATTCAGCAAGCTGTAGTCGCTCGGGAATGTAGTCCACACTATAGACAGTCGATGCACCTCGCAAGATGGCCGAATATGCAGCCATCAGTCCAACTGGACCGGCTCCAAATACAGCGACCGTGTCACCTGCTTCGAACCCGGCGTAGTCGAGGGACGTCCAACCAGTTCCAAAGATATCGGATAGCATAACATAATCGTTCAACAGCGAAATGGAGTCATTGGTGCTGGGATCGGTGTAATTGAGGGTTGGAACAGGTATGAGCCCATTATCTCCGAATGGTACACGCAAATATTCGGCTGGCATGCTACCCGTGAGCTTGGATGGACTTAATAGTAGTCAGGTACTTACCCTGCGTGCCACCCAGGTCGCCTCCATTCCCAAACGCACCGTACAAACCCGTAGTGAGCCCGGTGTGCAGATGGCCTTCATCAACGGTGAAAGGGACGATCACAGGATCGCCAATCTTGAGAAAGTCAACACCAGATCCCACATCAGATACATACCCAAATCCTTCATGCCCGAGGCCAAATGGAGCCGGCATTCCGCCAGACGTTCCTCGATAAATGTGCAAATCTGATCCGCAGATAGCTGCTCTAGACATCCGAACGATGACATCCGTCTGGTTTATGATGGTAGGCCTTGGCAGGTCCACCACAGCAACGTCATATGCATTCCCTTGCCAGACAACAGCTCGCATCGTTGCATTGATAGCAGATGTGTTGGTGAGCGCCATGGTGAGGAGTGTAAGGAACAGAAACCGTGCTAATGGACAAAATAGGGCACGTATGAAGCCGTATTTATACCTGCCAGGAGTGCGCCCATAGATAGAGCACGTACAATGGAATGTCATCATATTCTTAATGCACTAGAGAAGCCCCACCATGGGCTACCGAATGTCTCTAACATCCCCGGCTGTTAGGCCTTGGCCATTTAGGTATGGGTACTGAGGATCAACTCTCCATCCAAGGTCTTTGATTACGCCGTGAAGATTGCTGTAAGCAAGGTACATTTAAATCCGGCTTGGCGCTACTTGTCAATACGAGACTAGTTCTACATCTGCAGATGTTATGCTTAACACTGTAGGTGTAATCTTTGATTCCATTGAGTATTGCTACCTAAAGTAAAACTCGTGGTGATTTCAGTGTGGTATGCGCCAAGGGGAAAACGGCTAGTTATAGGTGATAGCTAAAGTGTGATAATCTATGGTCGGCTTTACGGTGGCTTAAACATTATCCTGAAGGCTAACTATTTCGAGCGATATTATAAACAATCGAGACACGCTTAAGGATATCCGTAGATAAAGTTGGTGGCGAGCTAACCTCATAACTTATATAACTCACTCACACAAAACAATATTTTCGCAATGGCGCCTGGGGACAGCATAGCATCCCTTCGGTTTGGTGTCCCATCACGTCTGTGATGCTGATTGCAACGATGGGACATCCAGCACAGTATAGGTCAAGAATATCGGAATTGCTTGTGGAGGTCCACTTCCCAAGACGAATATCTTTACAGCCAATGATCAAATGTAACAGGGCTAAGAAAGCGCATTCCTTGGTTCTGCATACAGAGTAAGCAACCTGCATTAGCGGCGAACGCCAAGAAATGTCGATCCTGGCCGGTAAGTTGATGCGGATGCAAAAGGTCTCGGAGATAACAATATTTATTGCATGTTCTCTACTCCTTGCTTACAGGTGGCACACTCTTAGCTTTTAAAAAGAACCATTAAACGACCCATCCACGTCATTTCTTGAGTGGCTTTGCTATCCCAAGAGTCTCGGCGCCAGGAGCAACAGACCCACGAAGGCCATTCCGGAGGAGGCACCTTTTACTATGAAGCGCATATCTTCGTGACATTTCTCAAGATATGATAGGCTCGAGACAGAGAGTGCCTGAGTTGTATGTGTTTTGCAGATTAACTGTTGTCAACGAAGTCTTTCGCACTTACACGTTATTACTAGCAGAGATCTATCAATGGAGTCATATGACAATGAATACTAAGCACCTCGGCGGCTTACTTTGTGGATTTCTCTTCCATTCTTTCAAAGGACCAACGCATCCCGAGGTCGGGTTTCGCCGATATCTAATCGTGACGGCCTGGTTATAATGCGCTTCCCGCCTTCTAGGAGATGCCGAGGCCGTCGCAGAACATAATAAACCACTAGTGACGTGCAAAATATAACAAGACGGGTCTCTAGAGCCAGGTCAAGCATTGGCCAACCCCCTTCATCTAGTCTGTGTTGTATATCCGCCTTGGTTGGTTACTTTTAGTGGTCTCCGTTTGCTCGCTTTCTGTTCATCTTAGAGTGAACACGCACGAAAACCCTGATTACTATTTTTATTAAAAAAAAGAAGAAGAAAAGAAAGCAAACACGCCCTGCCCTGTATAGTTATAGCTTCGGGGACGTCACTATTCTAGAAGAGTTACATCTACTTGATTGCCCATATCTTCGGGAGTCCGGGGAAGAAAACAACAATTGAAACATAAGAAAAATTGGCAAGACGGTTTCGAAGTGCTCAACAAAGGTAAATAGACTACAGATATAACTAAAAATCATATATATAAAATAAGCAATGTTTCCAACACTGCTGTAACTCTATCCTTATGGAGACCCTCGTTAGTCCCGAGTCGAAATACAACCCTAACCGTTCCCTGCGTGTCGCTTTCCACGACAGACCGAAAATGTCGAATAAAATATAGTGGACAAGAATTAAGCCTTTTCCAAGGTTGACAATGATTAATGTCTAGTTTTTCAGATCTATTTCCTACGCTTCCGCAATCGGATTGCCGGCTCGAATAGTTGCTCGACACTGTGATTTCTCATTGCGGTGGAGACGGAAAGTAAGGCAACATAATAAATAGATTTCGAGGTACCTCCATACATCGGTTTTATTGGCTGTAATGAGTTTCTAGACGCGTTCGGCCACCTTTCTTGTATGTTTGTGAATGAAACATCTGACTAGGTCCTATTCATCCGCATGTCAAGCTCCTACAGCTCGTGCGCCTCCCACTAGTAGAACAGCGCTAGAATAACTCGATCGTAACATTACCCTGAGCCATTGCATGAAGCTCTAAGGCAACATCTGCTCCTAAGTTCAAGTTGATCCTCGCATTCAAACTCGAGTCATTGTCATCCTTACTTAGCTTTCCCAGACCGGTCGTAGGTGAGGTGACGCCACGATCGCCCCATGGTCCTTTGGGTATCTCAGGAACAGGGCGTTCCGGGCGGGTGGCGCTAGGGCCGGAGGCTTTTGGTCCAAGCCCTTGTCGGCCGCAGTGGAATTCTTCCTAGAGGCCAGGATTGGCCTGGTACATTTCACTATGTCCCAGCAATAATAATCATCTGCCAATAGGCATTAGTGGGAGTCCCAATAGGCGCCTATCGCACAGCTGGAATGACAGACAGTCCCGGTCGGTCAGCAGCAGGATTATGCAGGCCAGTAAAGGAGGATGTGATGTAGGCCAGTTAGTAACACCGTCCAAGGGTGGGATACCCCCAGGGAACCCCTCCTGTTGTATTTTATATTCTTAAAGTATCTCTGTAGTCTATCTATCACAATGGGCTGTACGATAAGCCATAAAAATACCTTAGTGCTTCAGAAACAATTGAAGAATCTGAAGTTAGGGAAACCAGTTTTGGGAACATATTTATGTTACTACAAAAGTGTATTTTTACACATTAGAATAATAACTCACATTTGTACTTGGCTAAGAGGGAACTGCACTTTTATACTATGGACAATGAACTCACACACTAGCAGTAGTTACTAAACTCGACCTCTCGTAGTATTTATCTTTTTGCCTCTTTACAGTGCTTTTCACAACTTTTGAAAGGGTTTTGAACAAGCCTTCCAACTTTTCAAGCCAAAGAAAAAATTACGCAGGAATTACGAGGCGTTCGCGTAGAACAACCCCTTCGTCCGAAGCAGGCAGGATCAAGTCATCAGCCGCTTCAGCTCGACCACAGCCGAATTTCTTCAGATCCCACTTATCCACTCCTTCCACCCCTTTCAGCTCATTGCCGAAAGCCTTGAAAATATCAGTGTTAAGGGTTTCATATTCCGAGTACTCCTTCGGCCAGTCTCCCAAGCGTTCGACAGCAAGTTTGAGCAGGCGGAGGTGCTGTCGAACGGACTTGCCATCACCCTCTGTTGCCTCGCCGGGACTGCTAACATTCGAGCCACCGGGACTATGTGCGTCTGCAAGGCTGGAAGAGAAGTAAGATGGGTCAACAAAGGATCGCAGGGCGTTTTCATGCAGCACTGCAGCTTTCTTGTAGTACCGGTACGCCAAGTCGCGGTAGTCCTTCTGGTCCTGATATCCCTGTGCCACGCTCGTGTACATTTGAGACAGGAGCACGGTCATCTCGACGGTATTGTGGTCTCGTGGGCCGTGGACACGAGCACAGTTATAAACAATGTCTTCCGCTAGACGGATGGCATCCACGTAGTCACCGATCATGTAGCGTGTGATAACAAGCATACGGCCAAGGGCAAGGGTGTAGAGATGCTGTTGTTGCGAGGTGCTGCGGGTTTCGCGGGCATTCCAAAGGGATGTGAGCACACGGACCAAGGTGGAATAATCCTTCTGCTCGTCCAGAAGACCGATCAACCGGTCCAAATTGACATGGTCCAATCGAGTTATATCAAGCTTCAATTGCTCGAACTTGTCGAGAGCTCGCTTTACCATGGTGGTCGATAAACTAAGCATATCCTTCCGCGCCCTCGGCTCCACAAAGGATTTGATGTCTCGGCTTGAAATTGCCAGAGCTAATTTGAATACCAGCTTGACAGCGGTCAATGAGGCAAAACCGTGATGCGCTCTGATGTACTTGAATAACACCGACGCCAAGTCGAATGCAGTATGGTAGTTCTTGGAGGCCAGGAGTTGGGTTACGCGGTTGTAGCTGGCGATGGCTATAGAGCTGATGTAATCGCGCGATGAGTGGGATCTAAAGTACTCTAGAAGCGTGGTGATGAAGGCCCTGCCCTGAGCAAAGTCCACATCGACGGTATTGCGCTCCACAGATATGAAGTAGTGGGTAAATTTCTCGATGAGTCCGGTGGCAGTTGATTGACGGCCTCTGGACAGCAGTACACCATGTAGGCGACAGACAATGGACAACGTGCTCTGGAAGCTGCTGGTTTTTGACTTCATCGCAGTTCGGAGTTGCTCAAAGTAGACATATTCAGTTACCAATGAAGTATAAATCTCGTTCATGGTGATAGACAAGGCCTCCCTCTCTTGAAGGCTGTACTCGAGCTGGGCTAGGAAAACAAGGGCTTGACGCTGGTCCGTAGACAACTCAAAGCTGGGGGAGCTGACCTCGATATCCTGGGCCACAGTTTGGCGGTAAATCTCCTGTGCCATTTCTTTACCGCGTTGGACCTGTCCTGTCTTGATAAAGCTGGAAGCAATACTCTGGGCCGCTAGGCACAGATCGACCGCTGAGGTCTCCTTCGAGAGAACTTGGGAAGTTGCTTCTTGCAATAATGAGTAGGCTGCCTGGAATTCCTTGCGTCGAGAATAGAGCGATACGAGCTTCTCCATCTGGGAGAGTGATTCCTGATGGGCCCATCCGTGTTTGGATCGAAAGCTCTCGAGGCGTTTCTTGTGAATAGAAACCACCTTATGAAAGTCTGTGGTTGTAATCGTTGCAGTACTTGACGTCAGCGTCTCCTCCTGTTCTTCGTACAGGGCGTCCAGTGTCGCTTCGATACCCTCGTAGTCGGTATCAACATGGCTTTCTTTGAGCTTCAACAACTCCTCGTAGAGTGCTATTGCTTCACTCTTGTACGTATAACTTTCCTGACAGATTTGTGCCAGTGTAGTGGTGGCCTGCACCGTTACGGTTGCGGTTGTCCCGAATAGCGACTGACATGTCTTCCGGTACTGAACCGTTACCTCATGAATTATAAAAGTGTCAGCACGAGTCATCCGTAAGCAGTGGACATAGCGCTCGTAGGTCAGTTTGACAAAGGACTGATCTTTGAGCTTGGGATGGATGTGTGGATGTTGCAACGTGTTGAACAACGTCTGGCAAGGATGCAGTGCCTCAGAAAAACGTCCTTGTGTCAGAAGCTCTGTGACTACGATAAGCAGCGGCTCAAAGGCGTCCGGATGGCAGGTAGTTGAGTCCTTATTGAGGATCTTCACAATCTGCCCATAATAGTCTACGCATACCGGGCGCAGGTGAGTTAAGGTGGCTAATGCCCACAACTCCTTCAGCACAGTCGGGTGTGCTTGCCCGTACTGTTTTTTATAGTCATTTAATACTTCCTGATGAATGCTGATAAGCTCATCGGTCTTTGATGACCGTTCATAGAAACGCAAGACTGCTGTCGTAGCTCGATCACGGAGCTTATCGCCAGTGGGTCGGTCATGTCGGGCAGCACGATAGACACGAAGCCGAATGTTTTCCTCTTTTGCTGGTCGCTGTCGGGAACGATAGCAGTTACTTAAGCGCTCAGCCAACTGGACACAGTAGTCCACATTCTTCGATGGAAGGACAACATCTTTGAGCGATGGGGCGAATAGCGCTGGCCAAATAATCCGTAAGACACGCTTCATGGCTTGGGTAGCGTCGCGCCATCTCCGTTGGGACAAGTACAAGTTAATAAGAGAAGTGGTGGCCTTGGCTGAGAAGTGCTTTGTCGTAACAGTACTGAACACAATCTCTTCGAGGCTAGATTCAGTAGTGGTTAACTCGTTCTCTATGACATACTCGGAAGTGGACTGTATAGCTTGCTTGAGCTCCGAGTAAATCGAGCTATGTTGACTGATACTTTGAGCACAATGCTTCAAAACCTGCAGTGCCACGGTCTCTAATTTGACGGAATTCATGAGTTTTGCAACTTGCATGAATTGCAATACAACTGCCTCATCCAAAGTAGAGCTGACCTGCTCATATTCTTGCCAGAAGCCCCAGAGAATAGCTGCTACTTCGCTCTGTCGCTTCTGCGACATGAGGAAGTTCGAATAGGCCAGAGCAGCTTTCACATTTCTTAGCTCCCACTCTAAGGAACGGTGGAGTCGAGATTCCCAGCTGGCGCGCTGCCAGATCTCAAGGTAAATAAGCTCGGCTGCTTTGTGGTCCCCGGCCTTTGCATATTGCTCTGCTTGGGCGAGAAGTGATACAAACTCAAAAGACCCGCTAACCTCCACATCCATCTCAATCTCATCTAGATCGAGGCCAGTCCCTCTCACGGTGGGCTGCGGTCGGCCGATGAGGTGGATATGCAGCGAGTCATCGGGCAATTGGGGCCTGATCGGATCCTTCGAAGCTCCGGGATGGCGACCGCCAATGGAGACTCTAATTTCCTCGGATTTGTGCTCTTCCTTGATGTAATGGTAATGCTCTGCAAGCTGAGTAGAGGTAGAAATGAAGATATCGCTGGTTGAGCCATAAAGAACCTTATAGCTCTCCACAAGGTGGTGGAGTACTTCAATTCGCCTCATCATGGTCGTCGTCTTCGAGGTAGTCACTTGACTAGACGTGATATCCAAGAAATATTGTGCCACCGTCATCGTGATACTGTGTTGAGCTGAGAGTAGTTCTTGGCAGATCTTGATGGCATCATAGAAAATATGATCAACTTGTGTTGGGACTTTATGGATACTCCAGTAGAAGGACACCTGACATAATATTGTCTGGAGAGTGGCTGGCTGCTTGGAAGATAGTATCGACTGGTAGAGGCGTGTTTGTGTATCATGGAAAGACACCAGGACTGGAGTCTCTTTGCGCTCCCATACAGCCATTTCGAGCCTAGGTAAGGTTGTGCTAGTCGGAAGTATGGTGCGGATTTCTTTGGCAGCTGCAGAGATTTCGCGATCTGTGTTGCAGTCCATTGCCATCCTCAGATGGTCGGTCCAGTAGCGGAGTGCAAAGTCCAACAAAGGATGCCTTTCGATGAGGTCTCGGGTGATATATGATTCTAATGGCTCCAAAGCCGGCTCGTGTTCATCTGGAACTACAAGCTTTGCATAGAGTAATAGTCGCTGGGCCAGATCGAGGTTCCTGTTCTTGATGGTAGGAAGGATATTGCCATCGTTGAAAATCTCCAGGATTGAGTCGCGCACCTTGGCGTGCCGTAGGAACACCAGATTATTTTGAATAAAGACTAAGGACGCCACAGGCTTCAGAATATGAAGTGTACTTTCCCTGTCCTGCTCTATGATCTTTTGCTTGACTTGCTGAATAGACAGAAGAGCGGACAATTCTTGTATCTGTAGCGGCCGACGAGCAGTGGCGAGCCAGACAACGAGTTTTATTGATTCTTGGGTCACATTCGAATGCAGAGTGTAATGAATGATGTCTTTAATTGTGGGCTTTCTATTGACAAGGTTGTCGACCGCCTTAATCAGAGACTGCGTGTTGAATGGGGCCTCGTCCCGAATTTGTTTCGAAGCAAGCTTAGCCCACAAAAAAGAGCCATTAGAAGCCTCGGCAATCCGGTTAACTTGAATCTCACGTCGCTCTTGGGGAGCTTTGGTGAAGCTGTCGCTACCCTGCAAGATACTTCGTACAACTGCTGAAATATCATCAAGAATAAGCTCTGGCGTAATGCGCACTGTATCCTGACCCGCCTGGGGTGAGGTCTTGGACTCCTGTTGAGAAGTAAGCAGGATCAGCTTAGTACTCTTAGCATTATAGGTAGCATGTCGGAGCCTCTTCAATAGAGCTGCTTCGCCACCATTGGCTTCATCCACACCGTCAACGATCAAAACTAGTTCCTTCGCGTGTTTCCGGCTAGCTTCAAGTGCATTTTCGAGAACGCCCCAGATGATGTCGTCGTATGTTTCACTATCGAAGGTTTCCTGGCACTGCCTGTATGTATCCGAAAGAACGCGAAAAAGACGAACGTTTCCAATTTGCTGGTCGAAAAGCTGGGACAGAATAGTCTTTGCAATAGCACAAGGCATGGTATTTGCCAGAACTCTGCTGTCTGGAGGCACAGTCAGCAGGGGAAATAAATCGCCAATTCATGAGAAAGCTCACTGATTGGTACAAATATTGTTCTGTAGCTGACGTCTCCGACGGGATGCTGCAAGTGATCGTTGATCACCGTCGCCAGAATGGACTTTCCTGACGCAGGATTGCCGGAAATAGCGAGCGTTTGCCGGTTCCCCTTCAAGAAGCGATTCAAATAGGGCATCATCCAAACACAGGTTGACTCTTCACGCTCTTGCGCCAACTGAGCTGTGGCCTCGACTACGTTGGCAAGGACAGGGTCTTCTGGCTCAAGCCAGCGCTTGATCGTCTTCGCGTCGGTTACTAGAATGCTTGCATTAACATTGTAGTCCTGGATAAACTAACAAAGTTACAATACCTTTGGCACTGTCATACCCTTCGCGCTGGAGCTGATATTCCCACATCAACTCGGAAATACGCGCGCACCGACTGCGGAAATTGTGGATCTGGTCAGAGAACTCGCTGTAGATATCAACATGCAAGTACCCTGCCGCTGGAATGGTTTTACGAAAGTGCGTTGCAATTCCCACGACCAAGGTCACCAGGTCGGCAAGAGCCAGACTTAGCTGGTCCTTAATGTCGCCGGAAACCTGAAATAGTTCTGCTCGGTCGAGGACGCTTCCCAAGCCTGTCGAACAGCGATAGAAGAAGCCGAATAGACTCATGAGGGCGGAGGAATTTTCGTCTCCGAGCTAGATCATCATAGCGCCCAACTTAGATTGCGTTTTCTTCTTGATCAGAATGGCCCACTCACCTTTAACAGGCTTGCACAGTGAACATAGGCGAGTTGAGCCGCTAAATGGCTATCTCCCGCAAATTCTTCAATTGCCTTATCGAACACATGCAACCGCTCTACAAACAACGCTGCCCATACTAACATTTTGTCATAGCTGCTCCCTTCAGCGGGAAGCTTCTCCATTCTCTCCGCTCGAATCCATTCTAGAACTGTAGCGTAATCAGTTTCCAGGATTTTCGTAGATATCATCGCATCACTGCTACGACGAGCAAGCGAGTCAACCACATCAGCTAGCATTGACTTTTCCCCGTCGGATTTGTTGGAGCTCTGGGAGACAGTGCTCCATCTGAACACACTATTCGAAACACTCCCATTGTTTGGTTCGACGGTTGAGTTGGCATATAGAGGGGATCCAGAAGGGTGGGAGACGTGAGCCTGAAAAGAAGTGGCCATTTTGGTATAAGATACTCAGATGTAGGAGAAAATGTGGTTAAAGTTATTAAAGGATTTTTGAGGTTGTTATGGGTTAATGATTAAGTATTGAGATAAGGTGTACGTATGCTTACAATTATATAGGCATGAAGGACAGAAAAGAAGGCTTCATGTACCAAACACATCCGATCTTAAATATCCAAGCTCGCAAGATCCTCAACCCCAAGGTGTACATAACATGACCCCACATCGTGGAGCTCATGATGAAATAGAAAGCTTCCTGTCATCCTATTCAGGCATCATTCTACGACTACTCACTTGCGATGACGAAATATACCATGGCGCTATCCAATTGAGGGCGTGCATTCATGTCGTCGGCATTACCGAACTGTAGTAATAAAGAGAATCCAACCTTCTATTGATTTCAGCTAAAAGGTACTCCGTATCCGACCCCTTGAAATCCAGGCATAGATAGTCAATACGCAGAATATCCGAGTCTCTGTTCACTTGTAAGGTACACTGATGCCGGTGTCACCGAAGTCGTGAGACAAACGACCTACACGAGGAACACGTAGTAGTATCATACTACTGTCGGCATCGCCGAAGTAGTGAGGGACCTCCTAGTATTCATAGTGGGCCGGAATAAACCTAAAACACAGAGCATAAACATTATGGCAATCGTCGGTTCATCAACTGTGGGTATAGCAATCCATGGACCGGCGTTGAGGTTAACGTGAAAGGAAAGAGACAAAGAAAGCAAAAACCGACTACCTCACAGTGATGTCGATCTGAAGTCTAAAAATGGCATACTCAAGTCCATGGTGGATCGTCAAAAGTCGATAATCGAATCGGCACCACACGGAACGACCGCCACGTTAGGGTTTGCACATGCGGCCCCATGATGGACTTTGGTACTCCCAACGGATCTTCTTTCGTTTCTTTTCTGACTGGAATAATATTTCCGACAGTAACCCCAAAGCATCTCGAGGAAGGGAGAATATTCGGAGCTGTCAACGCCGGAGCATGATCGGTCGCATGGACCACCTCCCACTCAGACTATATTCCATTCGTATCCGAAAATTCTGCTCCCCGAACGCAGCAACTAGTTGTTCATGTACGGCAAACCATTGCGGCCAACGCGCATTAATTCGTTCTCCTATATTTTAAACTTGTTTCGGCCGGCAGAATAGTCTACTATACTGAATGTACTTAAATTACTTACTTGGTCTGATTGATCTGCTTGAGCTGCTTAATCTGCGTAGTCTGTGTTGTCTGTGTTATTTACATCGTCTGCGTTGTTTATATAGTTATTAAGTAGTCTGGATAGTCTACATATTCTGTATAGTCTACTTGATCTATATAGTAAACTGTATATACAGTTTACAAAGTCTATTTAGTATAATAATATAACTGTGAACTACTGGGTTAATTATTAACTAATCAAGGGCAGCCAGCTGAGCGGTAAAGGAACTCAACCTCAACAAGAAGAGTATAAGAAAACCTAAAAAATATAGGAAAATGAATTAATGCGCCTTGGCCGCAATGGCTTGCCGTAGTTCATGTCAACGATTACCAAATACCCAATGAAAATCGTTGACTTTGTGGGTCTGCACCCGCCCCAAGGAAACAGCCTGACCGAGCATCTCGCAGAGAACTTTCGAGCTTGTTGGAGCGAGCTTACCCAAGCATTCATTTCTACCAGTTTCATACGAGCCATTTAGTTTTTCGCCTTGCGAGGGACCTTGGCCCGCCCAGCTGCTATTGTCTAACCCGATATAGTTGAACAAAGACTACTCCAATCCCCTCCTCCGCCGGCCCAATGCAGCAGTTGTATGACTGAGATGGGAACATGGAGGGGGAATATATCTTCTCGCTCTGACACGAATAACAAGCATTCCGGTTCCATCGTCCCCACCGAGCCACTTGAAGACTACACATAGCCATGGAGCTGTCCACTATGATACGGCCAGTAGACCGCAGTCCCCGGTCTGGAATCGCAACGAGCGCCAAATTAGCTCAGACCAATCTGTAGGGCTAGGTGCTGCCCCCACCGAAGGCCCCGTGTCCGATGAGGCCACTGTTCAAGTGGATGGGCCAGCGGCAAAATCCGCCCCATGCGCCGAGAAGCTCACGTTGAGAGCATTGTTGGAAAAGATCCGTCGGGAGAAGGGAACCGAGCAGGTGGATTTACTCAGTGTGTACTTTGGGGAACCTGGGATCGACCTCAATGTACACATTCAGGGTGATTTTACCGTGACCTTGTTGTAGGCTTGTTTCCTTTTCTTCTCAATCCTTTGGCGTCTGCTTCTATTGCGGATGAACGTTAAGCCCTATGTGCTGATGAAAGAACAGGATCTAAGGCAGGAGGTTTGAACCGCCGATAATATATTATTAAATGATTCCTTGGTACTCTACGTTGATTAGCTACACTCTATTCAGCTCTTCCGTGCCACATTGAGTTCTGCTGAGGGTGAATACATCATTTCCTTTAACTGAGCTTAGATAGAGTCAAGTACACAAGCTGGATACAAACCAATAGACTCCATTCAAATTTTTGCAACTGATAACTAGATGATTTATGTTTAATCATGGATACGTCATGTATGTACTGGGCTTCAGACTGAACCATTGATCGAACTCAGCTCAAGACTTTAACATTATGTTTGTACTAATGTTTCTGTACTCCACTAGGGCTTCTGCCATTTGCTAAACTATAAAACGTCACAACTACCTAGTAAGTGCTAGCTATCTATAGGATTTGTATGCAGCATTTTAAGCGAACGGGAGATATATATTTACGGGCAGCTGTAACATTTTTTCAATCGATTGTTATAATTCAGGATAGTAGTATACCATCTGCAACAGTCGTGATATAGTTATTTTGAATAACCTGCTGATACCAAGTAGGCTTGTCCATTAATGGAGTACTATTCCTATACCTTTTAGCTGAAAATCCATGCCCTCTCTGAGCTTTCGCTCCGGACCCGGACTGAATCGGGACCGAATCCGGAGCGGAGCGGTTGATCGGCAATATTCACACCGCCTACTGGAACAAGACTAACAACCAGAAGGAAGTTTGGTTGTTTTACGGTAACATACAGTACGCCAAGAATCGGTACAGTATGGACTATCTCGGAAAAGCTACCAGAGACGCAATTAACCAAGGAAAGAATGATATTTTGAATTACTTCAACTTGAGATATCCCTTTTGAAGAAATCCACATATACATATAGGGCAATATGCTCAATTCTCCACACACCGATAGCTGTGGTTTATTTAGGCATTTTACGCAGTCAGCTTATATCATCCCCATCCACTCATCTCGGGGTTCGTCGCTTCCCGAGTAACCCGAGAATCGCGAAGACAGATACGGGCAAGCCGAATCTGGAAGTATATTTAGGGGGGCCACCATGTGAAAACTACAACGCTATCAGTCAATGTACATGTATCGAGTTTATCAAACATGAAAAATAATAGTAATCCCGACTTCGCATTCGCTTCGCGCTCTCCTATGGAAGAACTCACCCGAAGTTTGGTGAACGACGTCGAGGTACTGAGCGACCACCTTGCTTCCACTGGTCATCCCCTGCCTTCATTCGATCGCCATACACCCATAGTTGTGCTGCCCAATGGCGCCTCACCGGATGCCCATGCTGCAAGAGAGCGAATCCTGGATAATGCCTTGCACCTCTTTCAGCTTGCCGCAGGACCGAGTGCGTATTTGTTGAATTTGCAGACAGGGGTAAGATAGCAACGCTGGATGACATAGTGTTGCCATATTAATTGAAAATCAGTATCACTATGCATCTTGCGTACGATGGTTATGTCACTTTCGGATCTTCCACCTAGTGCCTTTAGAGGGCTCCATTGCTTACGCCGACCTTGCCATCCTTGCCAAGGCACCTGAGTGTCAACTCAGAAGTGTCGTTCGCATGGCTATGACAAGTGGTCTTTTCCTCGAAAGCCCATCGCAGCACGTGTCACACTCCGCCACATCTGCTTTGCTGCGCAATGATGCCGATTTCCATGATTGGGCTGTCACCATGAGTGACCTATCCGTTCCGGCTGCCTTTGCAATGGTCGAGGCGCATGAACGGTGGCCGGATAGTGTTGAAGGAAGCCACACGGCGTATAATATCGCAGTTGACACTGAATTACCCTTCTTTCAGCATTTGGCTGAACATCCAGATCGAAAACGGCAATTTGCTGGCTTTATGCGCAGCATGGCGCGCAGCCAAGGAACAGAGGCCGAGAAGCTCGCGGAAGGATGGGACTGGACCGCCCTTGGACAAGCCTGTGTAGTCGACGTAAGTACTGGTCCACTCGAACTAAGATGCTCAATGCTGATGAGGATATAGGTGGGTGGGTCCACCGGTCATACTTCGGTTGCGCTGGCCCGCAAGTTTCCTGACTTGAACTTCGTTGTGGAGGACTTGCCTGAGGTAGTGGCTGAGGGCCCTGAGTATCTCTCCTCCCTGAATGATACCCAGGACCTGAGGCCGCGCATTTCGTATCGGGCACATAGCTTTTTTGATCCGCAACCCGTGCAAGACGCTGATGTATACATGCTGCGGATGATACTGCACAATTGGTCGTTCGCTGACTGTGTGCGGATACTGTCACGTCTTGTCCAGACATTGAAGCCTGGTGCACGTATTCTCATTGTCGATATTGTGTTGCCAGATCCGGGTGTGATTCCAGCATCCAAGGAACGGTTGCTGCGTGTTCAAGACCTGATAATGCGGCAGGTGTTCAACAGCATGGAAAGACATCTGGAGAACTGGATGGATATCTTTAAAAGGGTCGATGAACGGCTTATTGTAAAGAGTATAGTGGAGCCTCATGGAAGTTTAATGTCGCTGATTGAATTAGGCATGGATTTATAGAAACGAATATAACTGAGCTCTATGACCGTGGGTGGTATATGCTTTGAGAATCTGAAGGAAAATGTACAAGTGTCGCAACCCATAGATTTCATGTAAACATCTTTCATGTAAACATCTCTATGCTGCTCATGAAGACAAACATAAATCCGTAAAGAAACATTGTACAATTTTGGTTTGATATTTACCATTGTCCGTATAAACTTGCTACTCCGTCCTATGCATTCTGTGATGCTCCATCTTTTGATGAACACCATTTCCCATGTCTTCTCAAGATAATTGGACAGAGTTACTTGAGTTGGGAAGCATGGGGATTGGCGGACCGGATTCTGTAATCGCTCTGCTTGCATAGAAGCTATACTATATGTCTACTTTGAGTTAAGGTTTTAAGGGGATACATGTTCGAATGTAACCATGTATATGGACATTTAACAGCCACTGTGCCGAACCGCATTCTTGTCTATAAGAGACCGTGAAAGGGAATGATGATAATGAGATAATATAAAAGACCTACCCCGAGACACTCCGTGGGTGATCGTTGGAACCGAGTCTCGCTATCGTCGGCTTCCCCGGGCCCATCGGAGTACGTCGGATATCTCGGTGTCCTTGGGGGTTTGGCTGGTTTCCCGAATAAGGCGAACGCGGCCCAGGCTCACACAGCCTCGCTGATGCCAGTATTGCTTTGCCTTCTCACAATTTATATATTGCAATATGGATGTTTATTCAGGACGTAAGTTCAGTATCTACCCGCTTATGAACGCTAGCAAATATGGTCAATATTTACCTTTTTGGGGATCAAACCATCAGAGTGGATGATGCCCTCCATAAGCTATTACATGTGAAAGATAACCCAACATTGAAATCCTTTCTTGACGGAGTGTTTACCGCTATAAGGAAGGAGATTTTCTTATTACCGCCAAATGAGCGTGCCTTGTTGCCGGCCGCACACACCCTTCCCCTTCTACTAGATGCCGTCAGAAATGGACGACGCCATGTTGCGCTGGAAAGTGCATTAGTATGCCTTTGCGAGATAGGACAATACATTCTGTTAGTGGCGTCATATATATCGACCCTTCCCATACTCATCTATGCATAGACTCTTACAGACTACGGATCTTTCCCATCCGCCAACTAGCTCCATTCTAGTTGGGCTTTGTACTGGATCTCTCGCAGCCGCCGCGGTTTCCTGCGCACGAACCAGTATTGACCTGCTCACCCTTGGCATTGAGGCCGTGGTAGTTGCATTTCGGGTTGGGATGCATGTAGCGCGACGGGCGAATGCATTGGTCGGGCAAGACTCTCTGCAGTGGAAACCATGGTCACTCGCCGTGGCAGATATGCCAGAATTAGAGGCTGAAAAGATCCTTGAGAACTTTGTCAGGGATGAGGTAAGTGGTGGACACACCAGCAATACGCATGACACTCATTGGCTCGCTTAGGATATTCCGAACATTATGAAGCCGTACGTCAGCGCCACTGGCAGCAATACTGTTACGATCAGCGGCGCCCCAAGAGTGTTGGAAGCATTAAAGAGCTCCTCACATCTTCGAAGCACAAAGACATGGCCGGTGTCAATATATGCGCCATATCACGCGGCACACCTATACAGCGAGGTCGACGTTGAAAATATCCTCAGATGCAAGCCAATCGAAAGATTTCTGTTTCATCATCAAGCGAACATATCCCTCATATCATGCGCTACGGGCATGATCCTGAAGAAGAGGACATTTGGTGATTTGGTTCAAGCATTGATCATGGAGATCCTAACATGCAAAATGCGGTTCGACAAGGTTGAGGAGAGTGTTGTTCAGCATAGTTCTGATGCTACCGCTCGAATTATTCCTATACACACGAATGTTACATCAAGGATGAAAGCATCATTAGCGCAAGCCGGCATTGAAGTGGAGTGCCTAAAAGCGATAGCAAACCACGGACCGGCAGTCGAGACTTCACCAGAGCCCTCAAGCAATGACTCGTCCAGGATTGCTATTATTGGCTTTAGTGGTCGCTTTCCGGAGGCAGACGGTCTGACTGAATTCTGGGAACTATTACAGCAAGGGCTGGATGTCCACAAGCCTATTCCCGCCGATAGATTCGACCGCGAAGCTCATTACGATGCTACACTGCGACGAAAAAACACTAGTCGGATCAAACATGGTTGCTGGATACGAAATCCTGGAGCATTTGACGTGCGTTTCTTCCAAATGTCCCCACGCGAGGCATGCCAGACGGACCCTGCACAACGCCTGGCTCTGCTCACAGCTTACGAGGCCATGGAGATGGCCGGTTTTGTTCCGGATCGGACGCCAACAAGCCAGCGGGATCGCGTGGGCGTATACTACGGCATGACAAGCGATGACTGGCGCGAGGTTAATAGTAGCCAAGATATTGATACCTATTTCATCCCAGGAGGTATCCGAGCTTTTGTTGCCGGCCGCATCAATTACTTCTTTAAATTCAGTGGACCAAGCGTCACAGTCGACACAGCATGCTCGTCCAGCCTAACAGCCATTCATACTGCCTGCAACGCTCTACTCAACCGTGATTGTGACACTGCCTTGGCCGGTGGGACAAATATTTTAACGAACCCCGACAACTTCGCTGGCCTTGACCGCGGGCATTTTCTATCTGCAACTGGAAACTGTAAAACCTTCGATGACGATGCGGACGGATATTGTCGTGGAGATGGCGTGGGCACCGTCATCCTCAAGCGTCTAGCGGATGCAATAGCCGACCACGATCCTATATTTGGTGTGATCGTGGGAGCACGAACCTCACATTCGGCAGAAGCAGTCTCGATAACCCGTCCTTTGGCCGATGCACAGGCACAGCTATTCAAACAATTACTGGCAGAATCTGGCATTCATCCACACGAGATCAGCTACATCGAGATGCATGGCACAGGGACACAGGCGGGCGACGCCGTTGAGATGAAATCCGTGCTTGACAGCTTCGCTTGGGATGGAAGCCGAGGCTCAAATAGGCCGTTGCATCTGGGGTCTGTCAAGGCGAATGTTGGCCATGGCGAGTCAGCATCTGGTGTGACAGCATTGATCAAGGTCCTGCTGATGATGCAGAAGGACCGGATTCCGCCACACTGTGGCATCAAGGGACGAATAAACCGTCACTTCCCTACAGATATGTCGCAACGCAATGTGCATATCCCATTTAGGGAAACTGACTGGGCGCGTCCGGGTGAAGGAAAGCGCCGCTCATTCATAAACAATTTCTCTGCAGCCGGAGGCAATACGGCATTGTTAGTTGAAGATGCACCATCATTAGAGAACCTTGGGGTTGGACCTTCGTCAGATCCACAGAAATATTATGTTGTTACTCTCTCCGCTCGGTCGTCGAAAAGTCTGTCAAACAACATGCGTGCTCTGGGCGAGTTCATCGGGTCAGAAACTTCTCCGGGCCTCTTAGCAGGCATTGCATATACGACTACCGCTAGGCGCATGCACCACTCCTACCGTGTAGCCTTCGTAGGAAATGACCTACAAGACATTAAGCGAAAGTTGCTGGACACAGATGCGATAGAGGATATCACGCCTTGTCTCCCCAAATCACCCGGCGTAGGTTTTCTATTCACGGGTCAGGGTGCACAACAAACGGCTATGGCGCGGGATCTATACGATAGCTTCGCTTCGTTCCGTGCGGACATAGACGAGTTTGAGTCTGTCGGTCGCGGACATGGATTTCCCTCAATACTTCCTCTGCTTGAAGATGCAATCGATATTGAGGAGTTGTCCCCTATAATAGTGCAACTTGGTACCGTGGTGATCCAGATGGCAATGGCACGATTATGGCAGAACTGGGGCCTGACGCCGCAATATGCGATCGGACACAGTCTTGGTGAATATGCAGCCCTACAGCTGGCAGGAGTGCTCAGCATCAGCGACACAATCTACCTAGTTGGGTCGCGGGCAGCATTACTAGAGACAAGATGCACCGTGGGGTCACATGGGATGTTGGCAGTCAAAGCATCCGTTGCTGACCTAGAAGAGGTTCTCAAGAGTGCGCAGGTGGAGGTGTCGTGCATAAATGGCCCAGACGATACTGTTTTGAGTGGAACAAATGATGAGATTGAGCGAGTCTCCAAGAAGTTATCGGAACTTAAAGTGACATCCAAGAAACTCCTTCTACCATTCGCGTTTCACTCGTCACAAGTCGACCCGATCTTGGAAGAGTTGGAGCAAATTGCCAGCCAAGTCACATTCCAACTACCAAAGATTCCAATTGTGTCACCCACTCTGGGCCATATCATCACCGACCAAAAAGTTATTGGGGCCCAGTATATTCGCCGGAATTGCCGTGAGCGCGTAAACTTTCTCGGTGCCGTACAGGCAGCTCAGTCTTCAGGCATCTTTGGCTCTGGAGCATTGGCAGTTGAGATTGGTGCACGCCCCATCCTCACACGCATGATGAAGGCTGTGGTGGGCTCAAGTGTTAGGGTGTGTCCAACATTATCCCATCAAGAGAACATGTCCAAGACCCTTGCAGGATCATTGTCCGTATTGCATCTGGCAGGAGTGCGGCTGAACTGGGACGAGTATCAACGGGACTTTATGACTAGTAACCGGGTTGTCATGCTCCCCGAATATAACTGGGATTATCAGGACTGCTGGATCCAGTATCAGAATGACTTTTGCTTGACAAAGGGGTGCCCTGAACAGCCTATCAGCGCCGATGCTATTGAGCCCATGTCGACTCGGCTGAGCCCTTCTGTTCAAAGGATTGTGGAAGAGGAGATGGATGCCACAGGCGCAATGATTATTATCGAATCTGATATTACTGACCCGGAGCTACTGCCAGTGGTGCTTGATCACAAAGTCAACGGTATAATGCTATGTCCATCGGTAAGCCTACAGCCCATAGCATTTTTTCGGTACACTAATAAGAAAGTCTATAGTCTTTATATGCGGATATTGCCCATACATTAGGTATATATCTGTTAGGCAAAAAGGAGAATTTAACAGAACACAAAATAGATATCTGCGACATGGTTGTCGAAAAAGCTCTAGTCGTCAAAGGGACTGGGTCACAGCTCTTCCGTGCATCGCTTGACATGGACTGGAACATGCTCCGTGGATTGATGAAGGTGTACAGCATCGACGACACAGGAGCCCCCACCGCACAGCACGCAGAATGTGCCATAGAGCTCCGAAGAGCTCAGCTCTGGCAGGAAGACTGGAAGCGCCAGCTGTATCTGATCCAACGCAGCATTGAACAGCTTAAGAAGGGTGTTGAGGAAGGGTGGACCCACAAGATGCGCCGAGGTGTGGCGTACAGACTCTTCTCGTCGATGATGCAATACGGCGCCTCATATCAAGGCATTGAGGAAGTCATATTCGACAGTTTTGGGCTTGAAGCCACGGCTCAAGTACGTTTACAGTCGACCACAGCCCAGTATTCATTGAATCCTGTCTGGTCTGACAGCTTCGGCCATCTGACCGGCTTCGTCATGAATTGCAATGATTCTATTGATCTAACCGAGCACTTGTTTGTGAACCACGGTTGGGGGTTCATGCGCTGTGGAGAGCCTTTCTCCCCGGACACGGTTTACCAAACTCACGTCAAAATGCAACCTGTCGGTGGGAACGATGGCTTGTATATGGGAGATGTTTATATTCTCAATGATAACCGCATAATTGCTCAGTATGGAGCAGTCACATTTCAGAAAGTGGCTCGGCGGGTCTTAGAAATGTTGTTGCCTCCGACCACATCCAAAGGCAGGTCTTCCAGCCTGAGACCAAGAAATGTCGATACTTCGCGGCATGCTACCAGGTTCCAGACTCGAAGACAAACTCCGCCTACTGATGTTGAGGGTCCGTGGCAGCGAGTACTGGAAATCATCGCCCGCGAGATTGGCATCGATCCTGGACAGCTCACAGAGGATGTGAACCTTACCGACATGGGAGTTGATTCACTTATGTCTTTGACCATTATCGGTAACTTTCGGGAGTTTCTAGGTCTAGACGTACCATGGACGCTTTTCGAAGACTGTCCATCTGTACAGTCACTTCGTGTTTACCTCAATATGTCATCATTGTCCGAATCTGACAGTGGTGAGACCAGCCGTTATCCAACCCCCGATGAATCCACTATGACCGCTATGACATCGCCTAGTAGATGTGACGGGGACATGGAGAGAAACGCAGGAGTAGATGGTGTGAGAACTACCGTGGCCTTGGTCTTATCCATACTAGCCGAGGAAATGGGTGTAGATCGTGCAGATCTCTCCAATGCAGATGACCTGGGCGAATTTGGCCTAGATTCCCTCCTGTCACTCACAGCTCTTGGAAGAGTGCGTGATGAAACGGATCTAGACCTCCCCAATGACTTCTTTCTGAAGCACTCGAGCGTTGCTTCAATCACAGCAGCGCTGCGAAAAATGTTTGCATTTACCGAGCCAGGTCCCGAGCAGACTTTCATTACCAGTCATCCACCCGCCACGTCGATAAAGCTCCAAGGAAACGAAAGTTGCCCACGGACCCTGTTCCTCTTCCCTGACGGTTCTGGGTCCTCCACATCCTATTCAACACTACCCTCCATTTCCAGGGATGTACGCATATATGCCATGGACTGCCCGTATTTGAAGCGGCCGAATGAGCTGGCGCAGTGTCAACTCCAAGATCTTACCCCAGTTTACGTTGCAGAGATCCGTCGACGCCAACCATGCGGCCCATACAACCTCGGCGGTTGGTCTGCAGGTGGGATTGCTGCGTATGAAGCGGCACAGTATCTCGTGGATCAAGGGGAAAAGGTTGAGCGACTGGTATTGATAGACTCTCCTAATCCAATGGGTTTAGGGATCTTACCACCACACTTCTACCGCTTTCTTGAGGAAGCAGAGGTCTTCGGTGTGCAAGGCAGGCGGAAACCCCCCGCGTGGCTATTGAAGCATTTCCAAGCCTTTAATGAGGTACTAGAACACTATACACCGGAGCCTTTCCGCCCAGCGAACGCGGCCCCCCGTACTACTCTCATTTACGCACAGGATGGTGTATGTAAATCGCCAAGGGATCCCCGACCGGAACGACAAGCAAGTGACCCAGCGGTCATCTCTTGGCTTCTGGAAAGCCGAGTGAGCATGTCATACAACGGATGGGATCAAGTGCTTGGGGTAGATAAAATCCAAGTAGAAACGGTACCTGATGCTAACCATTTCACTATTGTTCGAGATCCAGCGGTTGTTCGTCTAGCTGGAATAGTGCGGATGGCGATGTCCTAATGCATTCTACTAGATGTGTTTCACTATTCTTCCACAACCCAATGTTTGCTATCCAGAATCCTACGTGGAGATCACATGCCTTTGTGTGCCCTGTGATGAGGTGCAGATTTGTACATAATATTCAACCAACATTTGCAGACCTAGGTGCCATCCCTAACCAAGGTTGTGCACAAGGTCTAAACTCTACACAGCCAATCCAGATTGCATAGTCCTGGTTAAATGCCTGCAATTTGTAACACAAACCGAGGTCAATAGGAGTGGAATGACGGGGGTTATCTAGGCATGGTTTGGAACTTACTCTAACAAACAGCACAGATACATAACTAAGCTGAAATTACGACTCTTGAAGTGGTTTACAACGTAAGACAGATCTTTCATGGTCCCTTCCTGGGGACATACCAGCATTTCATGTTTTTATTTCTCGCTCCGGCTCATGTACCGCGGTTCTAAGCCACGAATGACGGGGTATATGCAAACCAAGGTTCCGTGAGTATGCGCCCTTTGTACCAATTGTTCATCGCTTCAAAAAATACCGTCCAATAGGTCTGACATACTTGATGTCTCCCCTGTAAAGACCAGGTACAACGTTTGTGTTCGCTCGCGTCAGCTAATGTTGGAGGAGGAAGGAGAAACCCCGATTCAGTTGGCCTCTTATACAGCGTATGTACCAGAGGTTGAATGATACAACTGTTCTATCAAAGTGCACCTACATCATGAACCTGAAAGCCATCCTTGTCGTCAACCCACAACGGCAGAATATGCGTAATAACGTCCGCATGCTGGCGCTCTAATCAAAATAGGCGTACCATGGTCTCAGAATGACAAAACTGGTAGGAGTCTTTGTTCAAGCTCAGGTACAGTGAGAATATTACTAATTACACATATCGCGATAATTCGTAGAGGGCGAAGTACGATTGTTCTATAATAAGCATATTGAAGGCCGGTCCAGGACGATGGGAGGCCTTACGGCAACCAGTGCCCTGACGTAAACGACAATTGCCTACCGCAACGCTACTGGTAGATCGTTCAGCCTCAATTGTGGGACCGATGTGGCCATAGGTTGATGATAAATGAGAAGAGCTCAAAGCATGTACATAGGCCTTTTATGGTTCTAAGTTGACAGAGACCAATTAGACTTCGCGTGGCAGTGGAGTATACGAGATGTTGGCTTTGCAAGATGAAAGCCTTCTGCGCCATGGCTGATGAGACATTATTTCTAATGCATGTGAGGGGATCTGATCTAGCGCAACTTACTAAGCTCCGTATGGTTTGATTCAAGTTCTTAGCTTTCGCCGAATAAAAATTGTACGAAAATACTATACATGAATTAAACGAAAACGGGGGCATAAGGTTCCATGAGAGTTATGCCAGGGGAGACCACCTCAACCTGAAGCCTATGTATCTGCTAAAACTCATTCCCCTGCTGAAGCAACTCTAGAGCCTTTTCTCTTGTCGCTTGCAAGGAGTCAATATAGGTCCCCAAGATCAACGCATCGGGCCGATGAGACATGCCTTGAGCATGCTGGGTCAGGATGTCCAGAATCGATCCGATTTTGTCAAGTTCAGACGAAAGAACCTGGACAATGATTTTTGAACGTAAGTCACTATCTAGGAGGTATCGACCGATAGCCATCGGGGCATCGTAGGTAGACAGACTCATGCTCAACGGCGACTCATCTCGGTGCGTATCATGTTGCCGGGTCAGGAGTGTTTGATAGGAATCCATAACTTGCTGAATGATAAGGACCAGCAACAGAGCGACGCGTATTCCTTGAGCACAGGGGCAGCCTAGGATCCCCTTCACTGTGTTCATTGCCGTACGACCGTCATCAAGGGTCGCATCCAACGACTGTATATGATTCAGGGGGGGCGTGTTCGATCGCATACAGGGTATCCGCGGGTCACGCACCGTCTGCAAGACGGCGGCCGCGCGTGTAATGCAGTCTTCAACATCCCCGATATCGGTAGTAGGTTCTGCGATCATCGCACTCCACGATTGGTTGTAATGTAAATTCCATGGGCATTCCTTTGTCATATCATTTGTTCGTAATTGAGCCATGTGTGGGATATCAGGAAGAGACATGTCAGCTGACTCAGGGCTGCGAAGGACTGGTGCCACCGCTCCATCGGCACTCGGGTATAACTCAGGGTGAGTTTGGGATCGTATCGTTGACTCGGGACCCGTGTAAGGCAGGGTATGGAAAATGCTGAAGGGCGTCGCATAATTAGATGACTGATAAGGATCATATGGCGACATGGCGCCGTTGGCTGCGCTGGGGGGTCGACTATCTCCGGGGCTGTCCCCCCTTTGTGGATTTTGCGCCATCGCCTGCTGCTTTGGCCGGGTATCTTGCATGGTAGAGCTAGTAGACCTCACAGTCGAAGATGCGCAGTGGTGCCAGGCCTTGCCAATGCGACGGGACTCACTATAGTTGCAGTGAATACCGCTCCTGGTGCACCGTACGCAATGCGGCTGGCCACGGTCGCATTTCACTTTCGACAGGGCACAGAAATCACAGGTCGCCCTTAGCTTGACAGGCTTTCCCGATCGATGGCTCGGTGTTCTTGTGGTACTCATTGTCAAATAGTCGGTTGATAGGTTGTCTTGATCGATTTCAAGTCTCTCTGACTGATGTCAACGTCAAGGTAGACAGTGACATTTAAACGTAAACAGTCGAGGCATAAGTGAAGAAAGGTGAGCACAAGGGTAATATGAGCATGATCTACCACTGACTGGATTGTGTTAGGGTGCCCCAACCGAATAACTTCATCCTTCCCATTATGTGTTGGTTTCTAAGTCAAGGTACAGGGCTGCAGTATCCATGGATCCTCCAAGTGTCCCAATCCTGTGCCAACCACGGAAGTTCCTTCCATGATATGCTTAGGCAATCAGACCAAGTTTCAGTCCAAAAATACCCTTCCATGCTTGCTGCATCTGCCGTTGGTTGGTGAATAGCTTCAGGCCTGCTTTTCATAGGTGCACGAGGCGGTGTACCTGCAGTATTATCTTCATGTCCCCTGATAAAGCCAGTGGCGAATAAATATGGCCCTTGGATGGACATCTTCTGCAAACATGTCCTTAGTTCTGGCGCTTCTATTCCTGACTGTGTTGATCTTCACTCCACACGTGGCCCCGCTTGAGGCCCCCATCATGGGGCATTAGATATCAATTGGCCAAACCACTAACATCACGGAATCGTTCGAACTTTCTTTTGCTGGTTGTGGGCAGCCCTAATAAGTTGGTGCTGCGCCTCATCACAGCCCAACCAAACAAGCTGTACATGCCCGCGTCCCTAGTAGTATAAGTAGGTGAATGATAAGGACAGTTTCAGTTACAGGATACATCGTGTCTACTCAGAGCAGGAACTAACGATTTCCCCTCATTATATGTAACGATTCCCAACAATATACAACTCTCAGCTACACTTGTCAAGACATTACCATAACCCGTCTCCTCGACTTCAACATTCGACCTTCTCATACATCACATCGGACCGCATGGTATACTTCACTCCCCGAAATACATCATCTCCAGCATGGCAGAGCCCTCTCTGTTGAAAGACCAGCACTGAGCCTGCCTTCGGAAACACTCTCACCACTCGCTCCCCAGCGAAAGACTCAAGTCTGAATGAGGTCGCACCTCCAAGGAGCGTTTGCTCTTTTGCATCCTCCAGGTTCCTGTCCTCTTCCTCGGACTCCATGGCCTCATCTGCATCTTCATCTCCGAATACCACTTCACAATCCGAATTGCCATCACTACCACGAGCATCCATTCGTTCCCGTTTCGTGATGGCCCTCTGGAGCTCGCCTTTATCCTGGTCTCCCTCACCATTTAAATACAAATGCACTGTAAAGAGTGACCTCTCTCGCCCATCCGGCGTAACATAACACCCATCCGTATGCGGGCGGAAATACTCCCCACCCGTATATTTCAAAAACCGCAGTTTCTCATTCAACCGTGTCAGCTTGAAGGTCTCACCCCGAGTCGCGGGACCAGCACCCGTCACGAGAGGCTGGTTGGAAATCTGCACGATACCGCACTCGCGCAAAAATGGTAGCAGTCGGCTCAGCAGTCTATCTGCAATATCTGGTGAGTCATATATGATACGTCCACAGTTGCGGAAGCCGGGTGCTTTAATTTCTTTCCCGTTGCCGACGTTCAACAGGGCGCGGTCCCAAGGCACTTCCCCTGGGTTTGTATGAGTGGGGTTTCGGGGTGTTATAGATTGTTCGGCGAGGTGCAGGAGCTGGTTGCATTCGGCTGGGGTGAGAACGTTGTCGATTAGAGCGGCGAAATGGTTCTTGTAAGCGGGGATGGGAGGCGTGGTTTTAGTGAAGTCGAGCTGCTTGATGGTGGCGGTGGGAGGAGGGCGAGCTTGGAGGAAGGACTTCGGAATATGCATTCTATACGATTATCTTTTTGAGGCATTTGTTCATAACGTGGTTGTCTACAGAATGGCAGATGAGGATGTTCATATAGGTTGGGTGACTCATTCAGCCTTGTTGCTTACCCAGCACCCGCGAGGCTGAGCCTCATAACCTTTCTATTTTGCCATCAGAACCCCACATATAGCACGTATAAAATAGATAATTGCTCAAATATGGCCTGTAGTGCTGATTCTTCAGTTAGCTTTACCACTAAGGAAAGGGCTTAATCATCAATCAATAGTGCAAAGCCCCAATGTAAGGAACTACAGCCAATAGAGCCTCTCAAGCTTTATCCATAGAGTTTCTAATAATAAGCAAATATGTATATTAGTATACTATCTTAAAAGACTTACGAACATAGCCATAGGCTAATCTAAATCCAGTATCATTTAGATACCTATATACATACACCTAAATCGTTCCACTACGCGTATCAGGGGCCACCTCAGGACCACTGTAATGTAAGGATTCAATGATTTGACTTGGCAAAGCATAATGGAAGTGGAAGCAGGCTGCTTTGAGTAGTAGATATCTCTAACAGTAGTTGTACATTCATGGCTCAGCAACATCCACCATCTGTGGCTGCACCCAGTCCACTGTTTATAATCATATTTGCAGCTCTTGCTCTGTTTGATAAAGCTAGGTTGGACGCCATATCGTGGTAGTTGGATGTTAAGGGTCTCCATATGCAAGAAGCTGGAAATCTTGTCCGGTAGTAAGTTTACCTTGTTCGATTGTGCTCTGATTTTATCCGCCTTAGTCAAGACATCTTGAGTTGGGTTAAAAAGCTTTTCTTGGTTAACTTGCTCCAAGATATTTAGCCATCACAACGACCACGACCTCTGGCACAGTGATCCTGACGTGTTCTCCGCTACCATCGATTTAATCAATCTTTTCCCCTTCCGGTCGTAGTGCTAGTGCGGGGCACTCTGGGAGCTAGTGTGGATATAATTAGTGGTCTCTGCTGTGTATGAAGTACGTTCAAGTGAGGCTGAGAACAACCCAGCAATCAGTTTTGATCTCGCTGAGATCGTCTGAGGGGCTTGGTCCAAAGACTCGTGCAACCAGTTAGCGATATTGGTTCTGCGACTTCACTACTAGTGATCCGTGACAGGTGGTACGACCGCGAGGTCCAACACAATGCCAGTGTATGCCACGAAGCAACAGTCGAAGGGATAACGGCCCAGTCTATCGAGTACGGATAGTAGATACTATCTGTGTTATCCGATTATGACTATCGGCGTTATTGTCCTAACCCCGAAGGGTCCTGATCTTATAGTTCTACTATTACGACCCTTCAATATACCGGTGGACTCAAGACAGGCGTAGGTCTACATGAGACATTTCCCCAATCCGACGCAAGGGATCTTCTAGACAACTGGAGGGCGATCTGTTTGGTAAATCCGAAGTGTTGACCCTGGAATATGTGGGTCCGACTCTGTCCTAACCTTCAATAACTTGAAGAGATAATCCACGACGGCAGTTAGAATGCCTTTATGACCAAATTTGAGCATATACATATGTCAGAATAACTTCAATGTCGTGATCCCATTCTATTCACTGTTGGTGTACATCTGTCCTCGGGTTGAAGATGAAAATCTCCGAGATCAAGAACCGGCGGGGAAAGAAAGCGGCAATAACATCTGCCGGGTTAGGCTACCCCTCTGAAAGTCGAGGAATGAATTGCATTGATCCATCTCAACTATCCCAGCCTTGTGATATCAACCAGTTTACCTCCGACAGCTTCTAGCTGTGCCCACGACACACTCGGTCAAAATACTATCAGCCCATCCCTAGTCAATCATGCTGCCAGCTCTCCCGGCCGGTGGCCGCACATTGGTCTATTCAACTGTAGATGGACATGACATTAAGCTAGACTACTATTTGTCTCCGATGGAAGAGGGATGTCTGCCAGCGGTCATCTATTATCACGGCGGTGGAATGACCGCTGGTTCGCGGAGAAGTATAGGTTTCCCACACTGGTTATATGGTGAGTTGATCTGCATGCGACAGGAAGAACTGCGCAAGACTAACACGAAACGTGACAGACCACTGTCAAGCAAAAGGCTACATCTTCATCTCAGCTGATTACCGACTGTGCCACCCATGCACCGCACTCGATCAGATCGAGGATGCAAAAGCCCTATTTAGGTTTCTCGCAGGAGAAGGCTTCCAACAGGCGCTCCCAGAACCCATCTCACTGGACACAAGTCGGATAGCAGTGACTGGCTTCTCTGCCGGTGCCTATTCCGCCCGTGCAGCGTGTGTGTACGCCACTCCGAAGCCAGCAGTTCTTCTCACAGGCTATGGAAGCGCGGGCGACTGGCTTTTGGATCACTGGACCACGGGTCGGCCGCCGACCTCCATCGCCAAATTTGTTGATCTCCATGACGTCCCTCGGATACTTGCAGACAAGACGGTTGTGAGTGATGACACGCCCGAAAGTGGCATCCTGTCTAACCGCTTCGCTCTTACTGTCCGGTGGGAACTGGATGGCACCTTCCTCGACGGTTGCATGGGTCGGCCTGGCCTGGGTGCAGAGCTGAATAAGCTGGGGTATGCACAGCGAGCTGCAGCGATTCCAGAAGACTTAAAACCGGCCTTCCTCCAGTTATTTGTCACGGAAAACTACCCGCCATCTGTCTTCGTGCATGGAACAGCTGATGAAGTCGTTCCTGACCAGGAGAGCAAGCATCATCATGAACAGTTGAAGCAGCTTGGGGTCAATACAGAACTACTGCTTGTAGAGAATGGACCGCATGGCTTGGTAGACTTGATTTCTGGAATGCCGCCGGGTCCCGCGAAGGGGTCGGTGGAGGCGTATGACAGAGCTTGTGAGTTTGTTACGGAGGTGTTTGATGCTGTCAAATAAGGTTGGCTGTTTAAGCTTTACTTTTTCTTGTGCCTGGGGAATAGTCCATTAATATAGTTGACCCTTCCTGGGTGGAAGGCCAAGTATATCTACTGACCAGCTGTATTGTCTGGAGACCGAGGGCTCACGCGATCACATGAAGAGGTGTAGACAAGGAAAGTCCAACATTTAATGTGACATTGTACATACAGAAGTATAGAGCGGAGACAGCTATTGAAGAACAAAAATTAACAACAAAGAAATGTTTGAGCAAGAGCGTATTCTTCTAGTCATTAGCTCCCTTCGACATTCCTAAAGGTGACTCTCAAACTCTATCCCGCTAAACGCTATAGGTAAATGAACCCCCCAACGTAAGCAGCAGAAAACCTAATGATTCGATTGTAACCATTCTCTAGGGCTGTATATTATTATCTACTATTCAAAAATGAACTCCGCCTACTCGGCGCCTCAGGTAAGAAAGTACCTATCGTACCTCTCCCTCCCATCCAAGTACCCTGAGGTCATTATCTAAAAGTCAGCATATTTTTCCACCACATCCTCCGCGGTCTAGGGTTCGATGTGTACACGATAGAAGCAAGGAATCGCGACCGGGTAAATAGGGTACCCCAGGGTGATTATAGATGATGGTTGGCACTAAACAGAAGAATAACCATCAATTAAGTTGATTGACAATTGTTAGGGTCCACATGGCCAATATCGTCCGTCTCCCCTCTGGAGTCAGACATCATCTGGATATTGGATTCGGCGGGGATGGACCAACTAGTCGGATTCCGCTGATATCTGGAGCAGCAATTCAAAACCTTGGGACGCAAGAGGGGCGCTTGCTCTACGACAATATCTCGAAGGAATCACAAAGACAGAAAAATCACTGGATTTACCAGTGCCGCAACAGTGTTGACAATGGAACTCGCTCTACTGTTATCCCGATCTTGAGTTTTTCCAGGAGAATTTTGAGGTAACCAATCGATTTGCAGCCTGGGTATTCCTCTAGAGGGTTTTGATTGTTGCGGTGAAGTTTATTAGATGAGGTGAAGGAGAGCTTCTCCAGAATCAAGACTCCTTGCTCGAATCCCGACCGCAGCGGGCGAAGTGGATATCGCAGCGAAGACCATGCTAGTCCACAACGAAGGGAAGTTAAATATGAGAGGAAGGACCAGAGTGGTAGAATCGCTGGATACTGAAGCTGGTCGAATGAAGGCTTTTCGGAAATGGTTTTCGATTTGCCTTGATTGAGGGTAAAAGCCCGTTGGGTGTGTAGTTATCATGGTACCAATCCAGCATACATGACTGCCATGCGATTGGCTTGGTAAAGAAAGATAATACCCTATTCTGCTAGACTACCAAGGCATGCCGAGCGCCAGATGCCAATGTTTCGAGTCTATACATACACTCAACAAGAGTTGTGATCTCAGATACATGTATCTTCTACGTTAGTCCATCATGGACATATATGTCGTTGAGTGCAGACGGGCTTTCTGGTTATACCGTCATAGTATAGGATAATTTGATCGGAAGTTGTAGCAAGCTTTTTCTGATGCTAAAATTATCCCGTCGGCCATTTGCTCACCACCTGCAGGGATAATTATCCTTAAGGTTTCGTATTTGACCGACTGAATGCTCCGATTAGTTATGTCGTGTGCTAAGGTGGAGGTGTGGAGCTTTGGATGCGACTCTGTGATCATCATTGGCACGGATATGAGGCATTTGTTGGGTCTGATGACAGTCACGGGTGCCGTCGTTAACTAACTCCAGCACTGATTTAAGCTCCCCTCCTCCTGGATAGATTGGACTTTATAGTATGTACGACTCAATCGTAACGTCTTTTGCCTACCTAAATTGTCAATTGGTGCCAAGAGGTATTTAGGGCACGGCCCCCATCCTATCTGAGGCGACCTATCCAGTTTAATACACCAAATCGATACCGGGACTCGTTATCGACCATGGCAGGCTCAGCTCGAGCCTTCGTGGTTCTCATTCTAGCCATCACCATTGGACTCTACAAGATTTACCTACACGATGCAGTCGTACTCCTGCTGGGAATCGGTCGAGTGATTCAGCCCCTAGAAGACTTCCCCGGTTATCGCTGTCAGCGCATCCAACACCCGCTGTTGGAGAGCTGTGAAGATCTCTGGCTCGATTCCAGTAGCCGCAAGCTCTATGCGGCCTGCTCCAATCCAGCCGCTCGAAAGGCTTGGAGCCCCGCTGGGAACCTCTTCGACCTTGCAGGGCTGGCAGCAAGCGGCAGCTCCGACCACATCAGTGTGCTGGACATCGACCAGCCGGGCCCCGACGGGCTCTACGGAGTACATGCACTGGGCTTCCGTAACGGAGCAAAAAGCCAACAGTTACACTTGCATGGATTCGACGCTAGGAGGATTGACAACGGTCGCCGGCTGCGGTTCTGGCTGATCAACCACCGACCTCCCCTGGACACGATCTCGGGGAAGCCTCTGGACGCGACCAAAGTGGGGGCAAATTCGACCATCGAAGTCTACGATTTGGACCTCGGCAGCGGCCCTAAGAGTAACCATTTACAGCATGTGAAGACAATTGTCAGCGACGCAATCGTCGCGCCGAACAATCTGGTCGTGATGGACGATGAGAAGGAGGACTTCTTAGTGACCAACGACCACAGCACCAAAGTCGGCGCTCTCCGAGACCTGAACTTTCTCTTCGGCGATGGCAGCATTGCTTACTGCCGTACGGACTCTGCGAAATGCCATTTCGCCACCACGGACAACTGCTATTTACCCAATGGTATCGCGAAAGACCCTTCATCGGGCCATATCTACGTCGCACATTCTGCCAAAGGAACCGTCGGGGTGAACATACTCACAGAGGATAACCGGCTCGTCCAAATCGATGAGGTCCCGCTAACCATGGGCGTCGACAACTTGTCTATCGATCCGGAGGGAAACATATTCGCGGGGGCTTTCCCAGATGCACTTCAGTTGAGGAAGGCCTTCCTTGACCCTAATGAAACCGCGGCACCATCAACCGTGCTCATGATCCGGAAGAAAGGGACTGGTCACGCACCAGGAGATACGTACGAAGTCGTCAAGGTCGTCGAGGACAGCGAAGCAAGGGTTTTACCAACTACAACAACGGCTGTACATGATCCTATCTCCGGCCGGTTATTCCTCGGGGGAGTGACATCATCTTTCATGGGAGTTTGCGAAAGGGTTCAGTAGGATAGAGTAATTCGAATTCAGTCACTTCCATGGCTGGTATTCCCATCATCGACCGACAAATGCTTCTGTGAAAGGCCTATGATGGAAGACAAACCCAAATTTCTACATTGTCGTCTAGTTCAGGACAAATCGCTTAGAATGCGCTGGGATCAATAAAGCACCACCAATAATTCAAGAGGTCTTCGTTTGTTTTAGTAGTATGAGTCTTACAAAAGTACGCGCTAAAACATTTACTGCATTAGTATGTCGCAGCGAACAGGTTGCGCTACAGTGTTGGCCTCAGCAGCACCTACATACAACGGTCCGTATATCAGAAGAAGCAATAGTGCGACATATGAATTTTATCTCGTCTACATACTCATTTTAATCGAGGCTAATCCTGGAGATGTAATCACCGCAGACAATAGGATGGGAAGCATATGCTCAAATTTACTACTGACGATTAGGCCCTTTTGCCGTCAGGAAGTTGAAATCCGCACCTTCATGCGCCTGGTTCACCTCCCGCTCGTAGAGACCCCGATATCCTCGCCTAGTTTGCCTCTCATTCCAGGTTGAAGATTTGTCTTCCGAAGTTAATCGCCGGCGCTGTGAAATCCTCTCTTGCAACTCTTCGTCGGAGATCTCCAGGCGAATAACGCGATTTTCCACATCGCACACGATCATGTCCCCGGTCTCAATAACACCAAAGGGTGAGTCTGGAACAGCGGATTCGGGCGAGACATGTAGAACAATCGTCCCTCCCGCTGTGCCTGACATCCGGCCGTCTGAAATCCGAAGCATATCTGTCACCCCCTGGGCAGCGAGCTTGCGTGGGATGGGAATCATTCCCGCTTCAGGCATTCCAGGGTTCCCGATTGGACCGATGCCTTTCAGGACCAATACCGAGTCGGCTGTCACGTCAAGCTCAGGACTATCAAGGCGTAAGGAAAGATCACGAGGATTCTCGAAAACGACCGCCGGTCCCCTATGACGGAGAAGACGCTTGTCTTTAGATGCGGAGGCTTTGATCACGGCCCCGTGAGGTGCGATGTTGCCCTCAACAACCACTAAGGATGAGGAAGGGTGCAAAGGATTGGACAATGTACGGATGATGTTCCTCGAGTAGTCGAAGTCTCGGAAAGGGCTGCGATCCAATATTTCACCAAGGGTCTCGCCGGTGATGGTCTTTGCGGAAAGGCGGAGGAGCGGTCGTAGACGATGCAGAAGGCATAGCATGCCCCCCGCGTTGTGAAAATCGGCCATGTAATTATCGCCGCTTGGTTTCAGATCGACCAGAAGTGGAGTGCTACGGCCGACCTCATCTAATGTTTGGAGAGTTATAGACCCACTAATGTCGGGGTGGCGGTTGATTATAGCCATCAAGTGAACCATAGCGTTGGTGGAACCACCGATGGCTTGAAGTACAACTACAGCGTTGTAGAACGAATCCGAGGACAGAATTGTCTGCGGTGATCGTCGACTTTCCGCTGCAGCAACAGCATTGGCACCTGTTTGTTCCGCGATGCGCAGCCTCGCCGCAGACACAGCCGGGGCAGAAGCGCCGTGTAGGGGAATCAAGCCTAATGCCGCCGTGATACATGCCATAGTGCTCGCGGTGCCCATCACACCGCAGGTGCCAATCTATTCCACGGAAAGTCAGTTTTGTACATGAGTGATTAGTCCATGAAGACGAACCGTTGGTGCCAGCTCCTCATTAATAGCCGCAATCTCTTCCATGTCAATTGTTCCGGCGCGGTAAGATGCCCAGTTGTTTCTGCAATCAGTGCATGCACCAATCCGCTGTCCTCTATGACTTCCGGGCATCATAGGCCCGGTCAGAAGAGGTAGGACGGGCTTGTTGGCTGAGATACCTCCCATAATCTGGGCTGGTACTGTCTTGTCACAACCTATCTGATGTCAGCCTTATTGGATTTAAAAGGGTGGCAGACCTGGTCCGTACCTCCGATCATAATACATGCATCAACGGGCTGCGCACGAATCATCTCTTCAGTGTCCATACTCATTAAATTCCGCAGAAACATGCTCGTCGGGTGCGAAAATGATTCGTGCAAACTGATGGTGGGGAAATCAATGGCTATGCCACCATTGAGATGGATGCCTCGCTTGGCTGCTTCGATTAACTGCGGCATGTTTCCATGACAAGGGTTGAAGCCGGAGCCAGTATTGATGATGCCAATAATTGGACGCGAGAGGGCATCTTCGGAATATCCCAAGGCCTTGATAAACACCTTGCGCAAGAAGAGGGAGAAGTGGGCATCTCCATAGGAGGTCAGCCCTTGTCGCAGACCAGTCGTGGAGGCAACTGACTGCTGAAGATTATAATCTTCATTCACTGTGTCGTGTCCGTCCATGGTAACTTTTCGTGCAAAAAGATGGTTATTCTTTACTTTCGGTACATCTCGACATGCATCATCCTGCATTTAATAACGTGCTCGGGCCGACGGTTCTATCGGATGTTCCCCGCAGTAGCAAACGCGGAAGTGATCCGATATTCGATCGATTCCCCAGCCACAACTTCTCAAGGCCGTAAGTCTCCTTGGTATGTATTAGACATGGCTATCTTTTGATGACTTCAACATTAGGACACTGCGGCTGGCGGCAAATATACCAAAAGACTGGAAAGTGACGGGCAGTCTTCGCGCTCCCTAGTCTCCATCCTCGCCTTTGGTACGGCCATTATGTGCATTGATAACAATTTTATATGAAGTGCATTGCACGGCACAAATGGCATTAGACTAAGTCTTTAGATTCCTAGACTACCTAAAGGGAACTGGCACATATATTCATCTTCTTCATCAACTTCAAAATCAAAACGGACCAAATCCTCCTTATAAGGGAACATGTAGGTAGAGGTTACCCTGCGAGTGAGGTCAGCTTCTGAACGTCGGTTTCTAAGCAGTACCTTGAATCATTACATACCGGTGGTGCTCATCACTCGCCTGATATTCCGCCAGCGCTTCCTGATTCTCGTGATAGCTCACTAGAGCGATCTGGAACCCCTTACTACGTTCGATGGGATCTGTGACGCTAGGACCTCCAACAAGCAGGCGTCCAGCTTTCACACAGGACAGATGTTTCAACTTTTTCAATTCGGTAACGAATGTCTTCTTATGTTCCTCGCTGACGTCGGAGCGGAATTTGAAGAGGACTGCGGGAGGCAAGTTAGGGACGTGGGCCGAAATAATCCGGAGCAGCACTCACCAATGTGAACGAGGGTCATTTTTCTGAAAGTAGATCGCTAGCTTTTCCAGGGGTTGAGGATAAGATCGGGTAGTTTGGTCTGTTTAGCTATCGATACGAGAGGTTATAAATGCTTCATCATGGATACGCTGCGGATGCCGGCCGACGCTTCTGATCCGAACGGATGCTCTCCGCTGACCCACTCCACAGTTCATGATAGCATAGAATAGACACCGTTCGCTATTTATTGCACTGAGCCTTTACCTTGCGCGCTATGGCCAACTAGCCTAATACCAGCGACTAGGCCATGAGTAGGCCACCTATGTAGAAGTCTCGTCTAGGATCGAAAGACAATCATGACCTAACATATCATCGGTCATATTATTTAAGCTAATCGGAAAATTCCAGAAACAAATCAATATCAATGGCTAGTTCACAATCTATATGTGGCGCACTAGATATTTTCCAGATGTTACGTTCTCCCCGTCGACGATGTGATTCCACCATCCACCACAAGCTCCTGCCCGGTTATATACCGTGCCTCATTAGAGACAAGGAAAAGGGAGGCGTTGGCTACATCCCAAGCATCCCCCATCCGTCCCATAGGAACCTGTGCATCACGCATTTTCATATACTCCTCCTCGTTGCCTCCCGGAGCATATCGTTTGGCGAGCGCTTGAGTATATGGCGTGTAGATCAACCCGGGCACTACTGTGTTCAATCGGACATTCCTTGGCGCATAGATCACGGCCGTGGCCTTGGTGAATTGCATGATCGCAGCCTTTGTGGCCGAGTAAGCCACTTGAGGCTTTCCGATATATCGTAGTCCTGCAATGCTGGAAACATTGACAACCGAGCCGCCTGTCTCTTGCTTTTCCATGATGGGTAGGACATGGTGACAGGTCAAGTAGATGCTTTTCAAATTCAAATCGACTTGTTGATCCCAGACTTCTTCGCTCATCTCCGCAGGACACCCCGGCTCGGACTTGCCCACATTATTAACCAGGATATCAATCCGGCCATGTCGCTGCATGCAGCCGTCTACTAGAGCCTTCACGGATGCCGAATTGGTCACGTCGGTTTCCTGGACATCACACACGCCTCCCTCTCTTTCGATCCGCCCTTTCGTCCGTTCAGCCGAGGCCAATGTGCGATTGCCACCGTAGATCACTGCCCCCTGTTGAGACAGTTTCATTGCAATCGCGGCCCCAATTCCCCATCCATCCTCGGTGGTTTGGCCAAGCCCAATAATGAGGGCAACCTTTCCGTCGAGCCTCAGCATGTCTGGTATCATTGTACAATGTAACGAAAGAACGAGAACAATTCAATGTGGTAGATCCTAATGAGGAAAGAAAATAGACAAATGCCCATGGAATTGTATAAGTTCAATACAGGTCTTGATATCTAGCTTCGGGGATTTATGTACATGTGAGTTGTCGCGGATCCACTCCGTTCGCGGAGCGGATCTTCCGTTGACCTCTAAGCCCATGGTGGGGCTCGCGAGACAGTTAATCATGGTTTGTGGACCATGTTGTTGTTTTGTTCACTACGGATATGGGCTCAGACATAAGCCTTGTCTCATCTTTCATCTTATGTTACACTCAGGGCAAAGGAAACTGCTCGGGAAGAGGACTGGGATATATCCGCTTCGGTCGGAATAGCGCCGCTTTGCTCGATGGATCAAAATATGTGAAGCAATCCTAGATACGATGCCCATTTCCAACATATTGTGGAATTTCATATGAAGAGCGAAACCTAATTTCACCCCTCAATACCTTTGGTACAGCATCATGTGGACTAAGCTGTTTCATGTCATGTGTGGTCTTCAAATGCGAGATCTCTCTAGCCTCTTATGGATCAACATGGGGACCAATCATTGTACTAGTGTGACTAATATTGAGCGGAATGTAAGATGGGAGAGAGAGAAGGAAAGCCGCCCACTCTTCTCCTAACTATTAACACGTCAATCAAACCACCGATAGCAAGCACCATGGACACCAAAGCCTGGCTCGTCGTGGGGGCATCTCGCGGAATTGGCCTTGAATTTGTACGTCTAATTCTAGCGAGCGGCCATCGGGTCGTCGCCACTGCTCGCGGCTCTGGGAGTGCTTTAGACGCCATTGCCCGAGATGCGCCTGATCGAGTGACCCTCTGAACATGCGACGTGTCTAGGAGTCAGAGCATTACCGTCTGTATACTTAGCCCCAGTTTACACCCAGCAAGCAATGCAGATATACTGATTCAAAGCCTAGAGCTTCATCGACCAATTTGTCCAGTCTGGCGTGAAGAAGATTGACTATGCGGTTATCAATGCTGGCATTCTAGAATATCCGAATGTAATCTCTTCCACCCCCGGAGCTATATAACCGTCTACTAACACTCTGCAGAGGGCTTTAGATATGTACGTAGACTAGCAACCTGAATCACGCAGAAGGTTTACTGACATTCTCCGCCGATCAGGACCTTCGACCAGTTTGCTCAGCACCTCCTGACAAATGCTGTGGGGCCGGTTATCGTCGCTCAGGAGCGTCTGAAGCTTCCTGATGTCTCCATAGAAACGATTGCATTTATGTCTAGTGACTCCGGCTCCACGCAGCGTTTCCTCGCTTTCGAAGATGGGTAAGAATGTTGCATGATGAAGCAAAGACACCTACGCTGATGGACGTATGTGAACAGATTTGCAGCATATGGTGTGTCAAAAGCCGCTCTTAATCAAGCTTTACGTGTACGAATTCTCTCCCCAGCAAGCTCCGGGCAGAAAGTTTAATGCTGACCGTGAGCAGCACCTGGCCGAGGAATTGAGGCGCAAGCAACGACATACGGTCATTCTGGCCTCACGTCCATCATCTTAATCACTGATTCTTCCGGAGTGATCTGTCCACCGTCAAGGTCCCAGCTGGTTTCAATCTTGCCCATATCTCTATCGTGCGATTAAAACATACACTACAGTAAACTAGCGGACAGGAAGGGAACTCACGTTGCGACTTCGCCCGGACGCAATCCGGAGCAAAGGTATTGACCAAAGCGGGACTTTCTGGACTTGGGAGAACAAGGTGAGTCTCCATTGTGGACTTTGGGGTTAATATTGATTGATGCTGGGAGTTTATAGGAATATCCCTGGTGATTCCGTCCGCTGGATACTGCATGTAGTAGGCTTATTGAAGCAAGTGGGGCCTATAGGCGGGGCACAGCATATGAATAAATTTACCAGGTCTCCTTATCGTAGTCTTAGCACCGTCGTAGTTGTTCCGCCAAGTGAACCTCTTGGACTAGTATGCAGCCAATGCAGTATGCAAGGCAACCGAAGTAACACAGGCCCAAACACGGGGGGAAAGGAATTGAAAAGCCTGCGCTACCTTCCGCAGTCGAGTGGGCGACCTACAGTTCACTTTACCATTTCCCTCCCTCATTTCCCTACCAGTGCAATGGCCCTCATCCTTACGCAGGCACAAGAGGCAGACGCCCCGCGCATCGCCGAAATCCACATGGCCGCCTTGTACGGCAACGCCATGCTCCTTGCCCAATTTCCACTTCCGCAATCCGCGCAGATTTATTCAATACCTTGGTCCAAAAGGCAAGATAAGAGATTCGCGACGCGCAGTGGGCTGTCCTTGTGGTCTGCGATTAACCGGAACTCCAGCCACAGCAGCAAGCTAAAACCGAGGACAGCTCTAAAGTTGGACAAGATCCGGTGCGCGTGGTGGTAGGCCTTGCGAAATGGAGACGTCCAATGGAGGGATCTCGGGCTAGAAGCTATAGTCGAGACGCCGTGGCAGTGGCCTGCTGGGACGAGGTTCGATATCCTCGAGGATTGGACGAGAAGGGTTGAGGCAGCGGCCAGCAGGTTAGTTGGGACGAGTCCCTGTTATAGTATGTTTCACACCCCTTGTTCTCCCTGCTGTACTATGTTTAGTCCCCAATTTTCATGGGGTTTAGATGTAAGCTACATCGCCATAAATCCGGAGCACGAAGGGCGCGGCGCGGCATCTAGGCTGGTGAAGTGGGGTTTTGAACAGGCCAAGAAGGACGGCACGTTGGTTGCACTTGAGATCACTAACAAGGGAGGGATAGCCATTGTACGAGAGGTTGGGGTTTGAAGCGGAAAGATCAATCACAATGGAGCTTCAAGGGATGGGGGTGCTTTATGAGGTGTATTTGGTTTGGAGACCTTAGGGTGCCTATTCAGTTAGTAGACATAGATAGCGGGAAGAAAGAAAATAGAAAAATGTTTCTAGTCAACTTGATCTCGTCTTCTGGCTGCTCCCCTCTCCATACCACCGCAAACTCCAAATTCCATCCTCACCACGATCTTCCAAGTGGTGAAAAACTCCTGTTTGCTTGATGAGTTTCTGGACTTGAATTGACGGCCCCCATAGTTTGACACAATATAGACCCCACTCAGCCGCTTTAGATACCGCAAAGAATATCACAGTTCACACTGAGCTCACTTCTAAGTTATACTGTTCTCCTATCTCACCACTCAAGACAGCCGAGTTCTCAAGGACCAATCGCAGGATGTAAAGCGTATTGGTCGAAGCAGAATCACCTGGTGGTTCATAAAGGTGGTGCATCCAGACGACCCAAACACAGTTGCCTGACTCTCCCCTGCTAGAATTGGCCTCGCCGTCGCAGCGGCTGACAGGCTGCCGTCCGCTTTGTCAGAATGGGTAGGGTCCACGTTTGGGGCGCGGGTTAGATCACTTAAGGAAGGACTCGGGCTATGTATATGTTCGGAGGTGAAAGGTATACTGTCGCACAACATATTTGCACAATGACACGGGCACTTGGGCGGCCCCTAGTCAAGTTTTAGAATGTGGGCTGGCTATCTCAACATGTTCTCGTGCCACAAAGAGCTTCAGGAGTCTGCTGCGCCCGACAGATCTCATCTTATGTTCAGAACAGATTATCCAATCATCACACAAAGAAGGGTCAGGGGAAAAAGGAGGATGTGGACCTTTGCAAGCCTTGAAGAAGGATAACTACTCTAAACGTTTCAAATCTAGGGTATATAAAGACCTTGCTCCTGTCGTGTAATACCATCCTTTCTACTAGCAAGAAGAGGGATTCTAATATTGTTATTCTACTCTCTGAAGCCTGTAGAATCTCGTGCAAGTAACATGCTGACGACCATACTCTCGGTCATTCCTGTCACCTTGCTCCTCTTCAGCTTTGGGGTAGCAGTGGAGCCCACATATCCCGACAGGGAACTGCCAATATTGAAAGGCGATCCTTATGGCAGTAATCAAGTCAACGACGTGGTCGAGGCAGGGGTTAGTCAGCCACCAATGACACACTTCAGACCATTTCGAATCCGGCTAATTATCTCAAGCAATGCAAAATGGGTCGGGACGCCAACCAATGCGTCTTGAAGCGACGGGACGCGAACAGAAAAAGCTGGGAAGTCTGTGATAGGGACAAGCCGGTAAGGGGACCACTGAGGGCGATGATACCATGTTATTAATACTCTGCTTGGCATTTAGTGTACAAAGGACGGAAATCCATGCAGTGTCCGATATAGATTAGGGCTTGATGACAAGCCCCGTGTGATCAACGTGAATTGTCATTTATACTAGCGAAGACCAGGTACCCAACCGGACAGGAGGGCCAAGTTTCCATCATTCATGTTTGCATTCGAGATGTCTGCGGGAGATAGAACCTTATCAGGGCATTTTCGTGGTGGTGATAGAATACTAAGACTACACCTCCACATACACCAGTGGCATGCCATGCTCACTTGCGCATAACTACATACATATAGATCCATACAGTTTTACGCTGTTATGTTTTAATTAATGTTCAGGTGGACAAGACTGATTTAGTTTAATATACCCCCACTGGTTGTGCATCGGCTCCGGGGCTCCTTCAGCTTGGATCAAAGCTCAAGAGTACCAAGAGAGTATTAAGCTATTCCCCAACTGCCTTTGGAGGCCATATCCCACCTTGGTTGAATAGCTTCAAGTTCTCAGTAATATTGACACTAAGGCTACCTATAGCAAGCCCACTGTGCGTTGTGAAATGTACAATGAATGCCATAGGGGATCTCCAGATCAGTCTTGCTGCATGACTCAGTATGTCACAATGCGTTATTTTCTGCTTCCACGTATTCCAAATCATTTAATTTACGAAGTATTTGTGTGTGATACAGAATATGTATGCCTTTTTTTTTTCTGATATTTATATTAAGTTTATAAGCTAGGATATCCGGTAATGTATACTTAAGATATTGATCTTAGAAAACATGGCCTTTTCTATGGAATAGAGAGGTGAGTCAGGTGGCCGGACTACTTCCATGACCGGCTTCCAGATGCCACTCACTTACATATAATGTCTAATATATTGGATAAATCTAATAATAATTTTTTAAATTGTTTCTCTTATATATTTATACTATAAATAAAAAATACAAAAAATACTGCTGTATTATAGAATATTTGAATTATTATTACCTATATAAACTTCTTTCTTTAATTATATAAAACATTAAATACAGTTATATATTATGTCCAATCCTTATAGTATTGCAGTGTCTCATTGTTGAGGTATTCAAGTATAAAAATGTGTTGATTTGTATAGAGCTGGCTTGCATGCGCAGCTCGTTTACTAACTAGTTAACTACGTCCTGTAGGATCTTGTTCTGCTAACATAAACCGCTCTATAGAACTAGTACTAGAAAAGCAGTAGCGTCGTGTGGCTTATTGGTGGATGGTGATGGCGGTGAGCAAGGTCGGAGATAAGTTGATGTGGAACTGAAAAAGGAGCCCGCACCCACTCCACTCACGTTGATAGCCATGTCACCCCGCACGACTCTATCCTAATGGAACAGGCCAAGAACGAAGCTAGGGTTTTATCGAAGAAAACCCCGTGTGACCCATGCCGCCAACGACGAGTTCGGTGCGACGGGCTGCTGCCTTGCAGCTCCTGCCAGCGGACCCGGCTTGCCTGCAGCCGTGAATACGTTCGGAAACGGCGCGGTCCGAAACATGGCCATGGAAAGAAGATAGAAGCACTGAGATGTATTCAATCCAATGACAATCAAGAAGATCAGGATGCTGGCGAACGCAGGGCAGATATCCTAGCTCCGGAAAATTTGCGACTGCTAATGCGACGCTGCGTGGACATCTTTCTACAGCAGATGTACCCGATCATGCCTCTTTTCAGGCCATCGATGCTAGTAGAATGGCTTAGCCGACCGATGGAGGCGAATGAACAAACGATGTTATTTGCTCTTTGTGCGTTAGTCACCTCCTTTCTGTGTGGCCACAGCGAATCCATCCTCGGGTGCGGAGAATGGGAATCAGTCGCGCGGATGTTCATCAAAAAGAGCCATGCGGTGCGGTCGGAATATGATTTTGTCGAGGACAGCACTCTTCTCTCTCTCCTTGCGTCTTTCTTTGTCGCAGTGACACACTTTGAATTGCACAATGCTCGACAAAGTTGGTTCTATCTCCGCGAGGCTATAACCCTAGCACAGGCGCTTGGCTTGCATACAGACGAATTCTACCGTGACATGGACTACGTGAGCGCCTTATACTGTCGTCGGACTTACAACATTCTATTCGTCACCGAAAGATCTTTGGCTGTGGCAAGGCATAAATCGGTCCTTCTACCGCACCCGTTGCTTCTTCCTACCCGCGAGCCGAACGATCCCCTAGAGGGCCTGGAAGAGCCGCCGGAAATTGACCACGGGTTCCGCCAGCTTGTACACGTGTACTCGCAGATTGATGTCAACTTTCTATCCTTTTGGAGTGAAAAGGGGACAATTGGCTCCGCCCATTCGACGTGGCACCCTTTTTGCTCGCAACTGCTTCCGGGCTGCGATGTAATGTCAGACGCCCAGAAAGCTGATATATTTGTGACACAGCGCTGGCTTGAGCTGGTTCTATGGCGAGCGGCCCTTCAGCAAGGCCTACTGTCTTCCACGGCCGAATCCCAGTCGAGGACGTTTTCATATCCAGAAGATATTTCGCTATCCCTACTGCAGACATTGTCATCACTTTCTAAAGAGTCAGTGGAGGTTCATGGGCTGGGGATCGTGAGTTCCTCATTTATTCCTACATGCGCTGGAGCTAACCAGATGGACCAGTTCGAGAAAATATACGACGTAGGCAACGCCCTGGCTGATTTCATCCATTGCTCGATAAATCTGGAAGGCTGGACAGCGACAATGACACAAAACCTGGATCGACTAGGTTCAATTCAAAGATACCTTTCCTTAAGTCCAAACTCTCATGATAAATTCGCTTTGTCTCTGGGAGGCCGACTGGCCGAGTACTCGATTTGTTTCTGTAGCCCCTTGACTATGCTGTACAAATTCGCCGTTGCAGACGAAGATGGGGAAGACCAAAGGGCCGCATGTACGTTGGAAGGCAACTTTGTCATCACAGGAAATTAATGTGAAGCTTACGAACGTCCTGTTTATGTACATAGTGTCCCGGGCCACCCTGACATCGTCGACTGCTTCCACCGTTCAAACGACCCTTGAGTATCCTCCCCCAGAGATCCTCAATGATCACATCCCCACGGGAAGAGGTGGCGGACCAGTCGTTCTCCACGTCTCACTTGGGGACAATGGTTGACTGAAAGATATCCACCTCGGTTGATGCAAATTTCCGAGCGGACACGCCTGTTTCAAAAAGAACGTCAAGCTCCGCATATGTTCTCCCTTTCGGCTCTGGTAGACGAAAGAATACCCAAACAACGCAGCAAAAGCACACCCCAGCCCAGAAAAAGGCGGACTTAGCTCCCCAATTCCATGCTGTCGAGGTGAGCTGATAATTTATCAACACATTAACCACTATATTTCCAACGTTGTAGAGGTTTCGAGCCAACACCACAGACTTTGCGCGCAATCGCGTCGATGAGAGCTCTGATACAAGTGAATAGCAGACAGGTCCCACCATCAGGTCATACGTGAATGTGAACACGGACAGGAGTGCCCCAATGGCCCAGTTCACGTTCGCATTATGGGGCGCCAGTGAAACAAAGCCGGTGACTAGAAGAAGCCAAAACAGGGCAATATTCCCGTACAGGTAAAGAGTTCGGCGGCCCACGTGTGTCATGAGAAACCAAGAAAGGATCGTTCCGAGGACCCCGAGCCCATACTGGATCAGCGACATGTTGAACGAAGCGCTCGAAGGGAGTCCTGCTGCAATATAAAACACAGTCGAATAGCCCATGAGTTGTGATCCACAGATTACCTGGATCAACCACACCAAGCACACAATTTCTGTGCGTCGCAGATTCGATCGCTTGAAGCATTCCCGGTACGAAGTGCCCGCTGAGGTTTCTTTTTCAAGGTGATCGGTGTGCTGGATCATGGCCAAGGTATCATCGACAGTATTGTTCGACCGACTCATTAAGCGCACCAGACTTTCGCGTGCTTCCTCTTGCCGACCATGGCGGACAAGCCACCATGGAGACTCTGGAGCCAACAGACACATGATCATCAAAGGGATGGGCCAGGCCCATTGCACAGCGAATGGGATCCGGTACGCCCATTGGTCTGCTCTATCGAGCACCCCTCTCAGCACACCCGACACAATGAATTGGCCAATGACCCAGCAAAGATTGACATAGGTGGTCAAGTATCCCCGAAGCGCGACAGGACAGACCTCGGAGGCGTACGCCACAGTGATGGTTTGAAAGGCGCCCCAAGGGATGCCGCACAGAATTTCCCCAGCTAGGAGCATTTCGATGTTTTGCGCAAAGAATAAAATGAAGATAAATCCAGTGACCAGGCACAAGGCTCCAAAGATTGTCAGACGGTAGCCGAAGCGGTCTTGAACGATGCCCGTGAAGAAAAGGCCAATGATTTCGCCAACAACGGCGCCGTTGGAAAGCGCCGATTTCCAAGGGGCGGAGATCACGTAGGTGCCATCCGGCTGGAGCTGACCATATTTGCGATTGAACTGGGGAAGTGCGTAGAAGCTGGATAGTAACATGACCGCATATCCTTCCATGACCACCGCCATCGAGAGCCCTACTGACCAGACGACTGCCATGGGATAGAGGCGGATGGCCTCCCGAAAGCCCATATCACGTTCGGATTGGACAGCATGAGCGGCGTTGTCCATGCCCTGATTCCGCTTCGATTCTATATGGACAATTTCCGAATCCTTCTCCATCTTCGATGATCTCCCCACAGGTGAGGTGGGAGGTTCGATAGAGGGTATGGGTATAGAGATGAGACCAAAGCGATCTGGGGGTAAGAATCGACTATATAGCCATAGTCCGTATGGCTCACACCGGACCCCAGTCCCTGTGGAGACTACCCCAGAAATACACTTTGACTCTATTCCGTCGAAAGAGACAAGGAGAGAGAGTCAATAGAACTGGGGCAAAGAAAAAATAATGTTTGTGACAAGAACTAAATGGGCCGGAGGATCTTCGCTAAATATCGGAAAAATGCCTGAGGCAAACCAGCCGATGCCAGCGAGCCAATCGCTGAATTACTCGCTGAATTTCTCGTCGAATCACATCGCGGAAATCACTCGCGGAATCGCTCGCTGAATTACTCGCTGAATTACTCGCTGAATTACTCGCTGAATTACTCGCTGAATTACTAGCTAGGTTATCCGTCCCTCGCAAATGTAGATCAAGAAGTTGTGGAAATTATAAGTATCAGTCCAGAGAGTTCCCAGAAGTCGCATGTCGAATGTCTCTTCACCAAAAGCCGTTGAATGATGGCGTTCACGACTAATCCTGTCCCCAACCCGCAGGCCGTAGTTTGCGGCTCGACATATCGGTTTACCATTCTAACCGATCGCTTGGTTCGGTACGAGTGGGCTTTTGATGGCTGTTTCGAGGACCGAGCGTCTACATTCGCCATTAACCGGTGCTTCCCGACGCCGCAATTCCGCGTTGTTGACAACGATGATAATCTCGAGATCATTACCGACCATTTCCATTTATGTTACGATAAGAAACGATTTTCTCCTGCAGGGCTGAACGTCCATTTCAACTTCAAACACACCAACTGGGGAGCTCCTTGGCAGTATGGACTGGACGAGAAGTTCCAGTTGGGTGGCTCGCTCAACTTGGGCGGCACAGCTCGGACCCTTGATCTTTGCGACGGCCGTTGTGATATGGGAGAAGGGGTGATTTCCAAAGCCGGATACGCCGCCCTCGATGATTCAAAATCCATGCTCTTTGATGGAGACTTTGTTGCGGGTCGGAAACCTGGCGATCGTATCGATGGATACTTGTTTTGCTACGGTCATGACTACAAAGCTGCGATCAAAGCTTTCTATTCGATATCCGGCCACCAGCCCATCCTGCCCCGATATGCACTAGGCAACTGGTGGAGCCGATACTATGCCTATCACCAGGATGAGTATGTCCAACTGATGGACGACTTCCGCGCACACAACATCCCAATATCAGTGTCGGTGGTGGATATGGACTGGCATCTGGTTTCAGACCCTTGTGTACCTCATGCCGGATGGACTGGCTATACCTGGAATAAGCATCTCTTCCCAAATCCGGAGAAGTTCCGGAGTGACCTGCATAAGAGACGCTTGAAGATTACTCTGAACGATCACCCTCATAATGGCGTTCACTCACATGAAGATGTGTACGAGGAGATGGCTAAAGCACTGGGCTATAATATCCAGGAAAAAAACCCCATTCTCTTTGACCCCTCTAACCCCAAGTTTATGAAAGTGTACCTCGAGATGCATCATACTTTAGAGAAAACAGCATGTGACTTCTGGTGGATCGATTGGCAGCAAGGCCCTTACTCCAAAGTTTCTGGCCTCGATCCCCTATGGCTTTTGAACCATTTCCACTACATTGATCATGGTCGAGATGAAAATGTCACTCCACTTATCTTTTCTCGATACGCTGGGCCTGGAAGCCAACGATACCCTGTAGGATTTTCAGGGGACACAGTGGTCACCTGGGATTCTTTGGCCTTCCAGCCGGAGTTCACCGCAACCGCGTCGAATATAGGTTATGGATGGTGGAGCCATGATATTGGCGGCCATATATTTGGGAGCCGAGACGATGAACTTGTTACCCGCTGGGTCCAGCTGGGTGTCTTTTCGCCTATCTTCCGACTACATTCATCTGATTCAAAGTGGAATTCGAAAGAGCCGTGGATGTATCGCTCAGAGTACGAGAAGGTCATGTCTAACTTTATGACGTTACGACATCGACTGGTACCATTCTTGTACACATGTAACGTGATTGGCTCTATTGAGGGTGAGCCTTTGGTGCAGCCGATGTACTGGTGGTACCCGGACGCCGAACCGGCCTACGCGTGTCCCAATCAATATATCTTTGGATCGCAACTTTTAGTTGCTCCCATTGTTGAACCTCGTAATAAAACAACGAACCTAGGGGCTGTTAAAGCATGGCTGCCACCCGGTCCCCGGTTTGTTGATATATTTACTGGTCAGCTGTATGACGCAGATCGTGAGATCACCTTTTACCGGGGGTTAGAAGAATACCCTGTTCTGGCCCGTGAAGGAACCATTATTCCAATGGATGCCAGCCAGGTTCCTGAAAATGGTTGCTTGAATGTGGACGAGTTAGAGTTTCTCGTTGTAATCGGCAACGATGCGGAAGCCATTGTTTTGGAGGATACTCGAGATGATGCGCCTGATGCGACGGGAGACAAGGGCCAGCGAAAATTTGTTGCACACTTCAAACAGGCAGAAGGAAAGCTTACCGTGGAGCCAATGCAACGCGCCTCAAAATTCCGATTTCTGTCGTTGAAGTCCGTGCCAAACGACTTGAAAGTTTTCTGCGACGGTATCGACAGGACGAAAGAGGTTAAGGTGACCGTCGAAGAGGCATGTCATGCGCCTGGCCTCGTTATTGAATGCTCGTTCTCTGAGATTGGTCAGTGCATCGTGATTGAACTCGGTTCCGATCCTCAAATCGGCGTGGTGAATCCGACGAGCCACCTTGAACGCCTACTACTGGACTATCAATGTGCATTCGAGATGAAGGACCAGCTGTGGAAAGTTGTGACAGACCACATGAAACCTTTCAATGCTGTGACGAGTACATTGCTATCGCTTGGTTATGATGACCCTATCGTTGGTCCGGTGTTGGAGCTACTGTTGGCAGACAGCCGGCTATATTCACCTTCGGGAATGCGGACGACAACCAATAAATAGGTCATCTACAGTTCGAAGGGTTCTTGACCGTGGAGTTGTGACCCTCTAGAATAGTAATATGGTACATGACTCGTCCACATAATATTATTATTCTCGGGACAGGTTGACAAATTAGGATCTCATTGATGGAAATGCCGCAGTTGTCGGACCCTGTATCTTCCGAAATGCTAAGGAGTTAGGTTAGAAATCTGTCAATAGCAACAACATCTCATTCCAGTGTAGAAGAGTTGAGAAAAGAATCCCGTCCTGGGGGTCTGCAGGTTTTATCTCATATTGCTAGTCACGAAGGAAGTATGAACCCTGCGATGGTGCCATGCCAAATGGCGACCATCCGAGATGTCCGCCTAGATTCAAACCCTTTATCTCCTCCAGATCAGGCACATGGCATCCAAATACGCTCAGTCAATCCACTAAGACCTTTCTTTAATATGGAACAATCCACCATCGTATAGAGGATATCATAGTCCTATTGAATTCTAGATAAAAGAAACTACAAATAGGGCAAGGCCAGATTATAGAGAAAGATCTTAAAAGACGGCGGCAGGCACTGATTTGTAAAATACAATAAATTCTCTCAGAATATCCCTAGTATTACGCCTAAGATGACCTTGGCAAGTTTTTTCATAATATATTTGTAGAAGCTCTGCTGCCCCTGGAAACCTCCCCCTATCTAATAAAAGTGATTCTGCAGAACCAAGATTAATAAATCACTAAGAGCCAGTATAACTATACGTAAAATAGTCACACTGCTAAATATATAATGGACATACATTTTGGTTGTCTCCAAATACAGGCCATGCTAAAACAAGCATTAAAGAGCAACTCCATTTTTTACACAGTCGACATCAAGCCGACGCTCATCTAGCCCTACCGGCGTGAAGGCTCAACTAGCAACAGCATCGCCAAGGGTGGCTTTTGTGGACGGTAGCACCAATTCAGGATGCATAAAAGCGAAGAGCTTGTTGAGCTTCCTCGCATCGGACGATAGCACACCATGGCAAGCGAGCACGGACGTGGTTAAGAAGATATCATCGGCGTCGTCTCGTGATACCACCGTGTGTATGCTGTCATTCATCCCAAGGCTCTCCTACGAAGTAGACAGCATCGGTACTGATAGTCTCTATAGGTAGACGACATCGGTCTATTCCAAATACCTGCCTCGATATACCGCCACGGATACATTTAATCAAAAAGTCGATCTAGTTGTAGGGCTATGAATAGAAGCATGGAAAGAAGAATACGATCGTCGGTTGCACCGTCATTGGAGAAGATTGGAAGTTCTATATCATCTACAGCGTTGCGAGCGCATCGCCTCAGCTCTCTGAAGTTGCTTGTAGCCTTTCTGGGGAATTTTAAAAATTAGAAGGACTGATAGGGAATCTGTGAATTGTATACACTCTGGATCCAATTCCAGATAAAGAAAAATGTCCTCCCAGGGCTATGCAGACAACGTGATGTCAGTGACCCATTCTTTCATTCACTTCCCTTCCCTTCCCTTCCCCCTCTTCCAACTTCACTTTTGTTCACCCACCTTCTGTTCCCTCTTCTTTGTCACTTTCAACCTCGTCCTCAACCACACTCACCAGAGGGAATCGCGCCATGGCCTCTATTCCGTCTTCCTGCAGCCTCATGGAGCTGGCGAACCTTATCTCCCAGTCAATCCCAATGCTGCGGGATGAGTCTCCTAAGCACGCACATAACGCCCGTGAAAACGTGATTGACGCCTGTCGCAGGATGCTGACCCTCGTAGCAAGCCCTGCTGAGATGCTCAAAGAGATGGCTTTGATTGTAAGAAGCCATGGTCTGACACCGCCAATGGCTGTTGGCTAACCAGATGTACAAAGGACAGACAGAACCTCGCATCCTTGCAGGTCATCAACCACTACCAGATCGCGTCCATCGTTCCTCTCGATGGAAATATCCGTATATCGGAACTCGCCAATAAGTGTGGGCTGGCGGTGGACATTCTACACCGGATCTTGCGACAGGCCATGACCTACGGTGCATTCAGCGAGCCGGAGCCTGGCTGTATTGCGCAGACAGATGTCTCGAGGGAGATACCTCGGTTGTCTCCGCTGCTTACTTACCAGCTTGACGTTTGTTTGCCCTCCATGGTCCGGCTTCTGGATTGGTTGAAGGACGTCGATGAAGGACACACGTGCGCATATCAGATAGCTCATAACACCAAGGATACCTGGTGGTCGTCTGCTTCCAAGAAGCCCGAACTGATCGAGAATTACGGAAGGTATATGGCATTGATTACAAGTGGTGGGGCCCACGATGTGAGTTACCTTCTGAGGGGCTTCGCCTGGGAGGAACTGGGAGACGCCATTGTCGTAGATGTGAGTGTCGATTTATCTACTCAAACTCTCTTATATTTCTAATGAGCATAGGTTGGCGGTGCGGATGGATTCGTCGGAATTAGCCTCGCAGAGGAGTATCCTAACCTAGCCGTGATCGTGGAGGACAATGTCGGGCTGAAAGATAGTGCCGATGACAAGATCCCCCATCATTTGAAGTCAAGGGTGGTCTTCTTACCTCACTCGTTTTTCAAGCCTCAATCGGCATTAAGCCGCGATGCGGATGTGTTCATCTTGAGACACATTCTGCACGATTGGAATGACAAGGATTGCTGGGCCATTCTGCAGGTTCTTGTTGATAGCATGAAGCCGGGAGCCTCCATCCTCGTGGCAGAGCAAATTCTTCAAAGCCCTGGGGCTGCGACTTGGCAGCGTGAGCGAGTCATGAGAGCATTAGATATGCAGATGATGATCCAGTTCGGAAGCAAGGAGAGAGCCTTCGAGGACTGGAATGCATTGTTTCTGTCCGTCAATCCACCCTTAGACATTGTAAATTGCGTGCACCCAGACGGCAGTGCGGACTCTTTCATGGAACTGAAGAAGAGAGCATGATTGCGGTGGCTTTAACTTCAGAGCAAACGTTGCCATGCGTGAGCTTTCCTGGGTGCCGTGTGATGGGGTTTATCATTGGTATTGAGGGCAGATATTGAAAGGTCCTTTCGACAAATTTGGACGAAGGCCTCACGGTAGGTCGATATGCTGTTCTGTTATTATTATTCCAATTCATAAGCCAATATGCAAGATGTTTGACGGATGAGATTATTTCACTTGATTTCGTTTGCCAACCACTGGCCATAATTTAAAGATGTAAGACTTCAGCCAATGTCTCATATTTGATTACATTAGTATTCCAGTAATATATATCTAATATTAATAGCTATGTACTCCATCCATCGGGTGATATACCCCAGGGAGTTCAGGTGATCTACCACACTACCGTCTTCAACCGGCTTGGGTGTAAACCGTGGTGTTACTGACAGACTCAGCGGGCAGCCACTGTCCGGCAACGGTGTTGTTGTACGTGAGTTGGGCGAGGGTAAATGTGTTGAGCTCAGACACCAAAACCGTGGCATCCAAGGGCAAGACGCGGTGCACCTTGGCGTTCTGAGTGGGCATGGAGATGTACTCTTCGCCGGAAATAGATGTGATGGCGGCGTCAAAGTTCACGCGGATCAGGGCATCGGGCGAATGGGTGCTGAGCAGCGACGTCGACAAGAGCCACAAGGCTGGGCCACCTGCTTCGGTTGACGCGTCCGCGATATGCAGTAAACCAGAATTAGTGCCGAGCAACGGGTGCTGGAGCTTGAAGAACTCCATCTCTCCAGAGGATCCGATATGGCCAAAGGTGCCGGTGCCGCCAGTGGCATTCCCCGCGAGCGTGAACCACACTCCACTCATGGCACCGTAGGCGGTGGTCATTCCAACGGCGTTGTTGCCGACGCTGGGCGGAATGGGCAGCTGCGTCGTCTCGCCACTGGTGACATTGATGCGCATGATGGACGAGTCATTGTCCTGCGTGACGTAGATCAAGCCCGTGGTCGGCTCCTCCTTGATAAACACGGGGCTGTTGAGGCACTGGTACAACTTTTGGTCCGTGGAGTTGGAGACATCCGCGGAGAACACATAATACTGGCCAGTTTGCTCGGATGCCACCTTGAGGCCGGCCCAGACGCGGTTGCCGATCTCAAACACACAATGCGGGCCGTTTCCGGGCGCAGGGATATCAATTGTCTGTACGATGGAGGGCGTAGTCGAGAGGTCTTGGCCGGGATCCACAAGCAGCAGCTTGTTGTCGGCCTGCAGCGACAGCCACATCATGCCCGGGTATATTGTCGATGGCCACACGCCATGTAGCTGGGAACTACTGTTCTTTCCCATGGGGAAGGAGTGATAGGCAATGGGCTCCTCGGTGGTTGGATCCAGCTCGATCTTGATAAGCTCGCTGTCGGACATCTGTGTCAGCAGCACGAAGTTTGTGTTCGGCACGCGCGCAAACTCATGCGTCTCAGTGGTGGCCGGCATCAGATACTCAGTGACGCGACGGCTCACGAGTGAAGTGACGGAGTTCTGCGCTGACGCGGCGGTGGCGCCCAACGCCAGCGCGATCACGAGCGACTTGACAGTCTGGTACAACATCTTTGGTGGTTCCCTGCTTGATGTTGTTGTTTTTTTTTTGTTTTGTTTTCGCTGGGCTATCTCTGCACATGGTCGGACTAAACCCCCCTATTTAAGTGCTCGCGACATTTGTAATTGCGCAACGCCACATCTCGCACTAGAGATGTGATATGTCAGCCCTGCTACTCAGGCAGGAAGGATCGTCTACAAAACCCATCCATTCCAAGGAACCCAGGAACTAGGGACCAAAAGCCGTTAGCGTCAAAAGTGGGTTTCAGCCATTTTTCCGATCATTTCCCAGATCTGGGAGATCGTGTATCTTTGGATGTACATCTTTTCCAAAGGTGAACACCAGAAGAACCAAAGGGGGGCCGGCTAAACCCTAAATCTGAGTTCGTGGAGACGTGGACATGCTCGGAGTGATTTGTGCATTCTAGCCTTTCAAGATTGTCGCTTTTCATTGCGCTATTCAGTTAGTATTGTCGGCAAATTGTAAGACACTGTGGGCCTCCAGGCAGTATCTAAATTAGTTAAGCACTTTGTCTCGTATTTCCAGCTCCCCAGGAGAGTAAGGGATTGACCAAAAATCTCTACAGCTTCGCTCGCCAGAAATCTGAGTCAATTCCCGGTCGTTACTTATATATTGTATTTCCTGGAGATTACTATGGCTTTTTATAAACCTGTTTACTAGACAAGTGGTCAAGATATTGTTATAATTGGGGACATAGAAGAGCTTTGAACGAGGGGAAAAAAATTAAGGTTGCTGCAGAATTATACAGTGGCGTTTACTATTCCCTGCTCCATAGACACCGGATAATTTACGCTGTCCTCATAGAGCCTGGAAGCCAGGGAAAATCAGGAGTCAGTTTTAAAATATCCAGTATTATAACGAAGAGCCAAACTTAAATCAACAGTCCTGGGCCACTCAATCAGGAAAGTACACTTCTCTCCCTACGTTGGTTCTCCCTTTTTACCCACCAGAATTAAGAAAGCTGCACGATTTGGTACCAGTCGCGCGTTTTTCCTCACCCTACCTTCCTGCGCGATTTGGGTTACATCCTGATTGCTCCCGGGTCATACAGAAAACAAACTTAAATAGAGCTTCTATTTAATCCTTGGCGAACTTGGGGAGCGGCCGTCGTCGGCATTTGCAGTAGTATACATTGGCCCGATGATCAATATCTTGAAACCTCTCCTTGTGCAATGCATGCTTGACAGTCTTTGGATCCATAATTCGCACTGCAAAGACCGCTGCAAATTCCCGAGGTGAGTGGGCGTAGGATGTATCCCCAGGGACCACCATCCCTTTTTGATTACTATTAGCAAAATAGATTCAATTTCAACTTGCCCTCCAGGCGGTTCACTCACTTGTTGGTCCATCCTGGGCTCTTACATGTGCCTGCCCGACATTCTAGCGCAGCACGACACTTATTCTTCGCGCCGCAGGGTGAGTTCAGGCTCCCATCGGCTGGGTAGCATTGTTTGCGCTCTGGGAATACGATGTTCTTGTAACAATAGAGGCCGGAGCCGCAGTCCGAATGGCGCTCACACGCGGCGTTCTCCATGCCGGGGCAGCTGTCGCATTTGCCTCGAACACAGCAATGACCTTTGAAACATTGCTCCGTCGCCGAACATTTGTCGCCGTAGAAATGAGTATGCCCACACTTCCCGGCGGATGAACAGTAGGTCGGACGACGGCCTGGACAATCACCCTCTGTCTTACAAGACTGGCTGATTGATACAGCACATTTGTTATTCTTGCAGTAGCCGGTTTCGCATTCGTTGTCCTTGGTACAGTCGTCGTTATAGTTCAACCGCTTGTTCGCACATTTCCCGTGGATGCACTTGTAACTCGCACACTCTCCATCGTCCCGGCAGCTTCCACTATCCCTGACCCCCTTCTTTCCGCACGTGCCCTGTAGACAGAGTCTGGATTTGCACTGCATCCCCGCGTGACACCGGCCGCCATCTTCCACGTCCATGGGCCGACACTCACCCGGGCAGTACCTCGACGCGCACTGCTCGGGGATATGGCACTGCTCATAATCGCTGAGATCCCCGGGGACGCAACGATTATTGTGGCAGGCGTTGGAGGCACACACCCAGTGAGTGTCGCACTCGTCTCCTTCCTCTAAATCATCGGGGCGGCATATGCCCCCTAAGCAAAATCTCGAATCGCATTGCTTGCTGTGCTCGCAAGCACCCCCCAGTTCTCTCCCCTTGCAGACCCCATTGACACAGAAGGCCTCACACTCGTTGCCCTTGGTGCAGGTCGCTCCGTCGGGTTGTGGAGGCTTGCATAGCCCATCTGATAGGGAGCAGAATTCAAAATCGGGGCATCGCGGGCTACAGCTCCGATGGCAGGTACCACTTTTGCACACCCCAGGGGCGTAAGAACTAAGCTTGCCGTCTCTAGAGTCCTTGGATTCGCGATAGCGGGAGTAGTACTGACGTTCTTGCAACCGAAACATGAAACGCTCGATATACTTGCCACGATACTCTGCCTCCTCCTTGCTTAACCATATACAGTTGTGATCATGGCATAGGGAGACGCAGTCATCATTGGCGCTGCATTCTTGTTGGAACTCTCCCTCAAACCAGCCTACTCGATCAAGCAAGATCCGAGGCTCACGGCGATAATGGTAACTGCTGCGGCATGTTGCCAAAGGGGCAATTCCCAGTACGAATAAAGGTATCCAACTGCCACGCATGCTGCTCTCTGCGGATAAGTGGAAACTGTGATGACAGTATAATTATGTCGGGGGGGACGGAAAGAGTAAGGGACTTTATAGAGACCGTGGCACGACATGCCCATGGGAGCTGAAGAAGCAGATCTCTCTCGTCATTCAGGTGGGACCGACCTCTAGCCGGATGAAGCGGAGATCAGCATCAATGAGTTCGTCTACTGTCTCCTACATGAACTCTCCCCACTTTCAGGATTTTCCTGCACACTAGCGAGCTGGACTACTTTTGCGGTCTCTCGCAAGGTCTCGGCTCTCTCTTTGTATTCATCAAGCATGGCAGGCTCGTTCATACAGGTTGTCATACGGAGAAGCACCTTAAATAATACATTCTTACCGCGTAGCCCAGAACGTCGCTTAACTCCATTAAGGAAGCTTCGAAGTCATATAGCCGGCTAGAATGACATCGCCTCTCAAGACCGCGTCATTTCTGGCCTCATTGGTCTACCTGAAGAGGGCAACGTTGGGCAGCAGCGCAGCTAGTCGCGGTGTGAGCGAACTCCCAGGAGTGGAAAAGGATGTGCTGAACAAGCCGGGGGAGCTCTTATTAAAATCTTAGAAGGCCAAGAAGCGGGACTAGCTCAGGACTCAGGCTTCTCTGTGAGCGCTCACCGCTTGCTCAACGATCGTCGTGGCGCTTTTGGATAGTGATCTCCTGGTAGAAGGGAACGAAGTCGATCGCTTCCAAGGTGGGTTTTAGACTATCACTACTATGGCGTTCTATCGACTGCAGAATAAAAACAAAGAAGAAAACAAGAATTCAGAGATTACGCCAGGTGCTCTTCGCCATCACTCTCCAGCCGACCGACGGTAAAGAGCTTCTATCGCAGCTTGATCGACTTCCATACCCGGCGAGCACCAACCCTACCCAGCATGTTCGAACAGTACTAAACGTAGATCCAACGCCGTGATCAGCATGGAGGAACGAGTCGACTCCCTCAGGTGCCTCATGAATCCATTAAGGAATGGGTTATCCCATCAAACGTGAGCGTTCTCCCCTCCATAGTGGTCACTCTCACTTCCACCCCGAACACTGGATCGCCGCCAACACGAAAATACCCACCTCGACTAGTATTTGGTTTCATTCACTAAAGGCAGTCGACAGGGCGTAGACACCAAATACGTGTCCACGAACCCGGAAACTCGAGGCCATCCCCCTCACACCACAAAAACACGGTAAAACGCAGAAGGCGAGCTGCCACCTAATCATACATCACAGCGTTGCATATGCAAAGCTATACCTGGATCTCGCGACCGTCTTGCAATGCTTCTAGTTCACGGCTGTCAACATAGCAGTAGCCGTAAACATGGCAAGGGATCACTTCGTTGAAGTTCTTGAAACTGGTTAGAAGAGCGCCAGGGCCAGCCGTGACGAATCCTGCGAGGTGGTATATCATACGTATAACGATAGAATGGGTACGGTGGGAGCGAGACAACGGGTAAGGCCACTTCAGTGACCTCGTATGCAGGCCGACGTAGACACTCTTTGCAGGGTTGCGTATCGCGGTAAGGGAGTCGCTAGTTCTGTATCATGACTCGTTATAAATAGAAATTAGGCATTTGAACGTTCTTATCGTCCGTGGCATAATAAAGTTTATGTCTACTGTAGATCGCTCTAAGCTTAGTTAAGGTTACCAAGTATAGTAGTGCGGGTGGAGATGAAGTAGGAAGGGATGTGAATCTAGAATTGCCATTTATCTATGGAGAGACGTGGAAATGACGTGGTTCAATCAAAATCCAGATCATGTCAGTTCGTTCTATGCAAGGGAGAATGCAGTATTGTACATACATAGCGGATGCAGGATGGATAGTATGGAGACACTCAGAGGAGAGACCTCGTGTATAGGTGTGATATTGAGTACAAGTACCAGACTTGAAGTAATACATATGCTTTCATAGTAAACAAACAAACAATGCAAGGCAGTAGGTAGTATGTTGGGATGGTCATGCAGTGTAAACATCATTCGTGCAATATAAAAGTAGAACAGGAGATCAACCGAGACGAAGGAAATATACAAAGGAAATTTAGATGGAAGGTCATCGCTCAAAACACAATCCCCAACGCCAGTCATGAATAGTCTAGAGCCAAAAAGCCAATGCTATGGTCAATCTGTGTGGCTGGATCACAAAGTATGTTGATACATCTTAGATGAGCATCAATAGGACGAGAATAGAAAAGGAAAGCATAGAAACGGTCAAGTCAGAGTACTGATCATCTGCTGTATCAAACGGGAAATCGAACACCGCCACGTTCCGTGCACCGTGGCTGAGAGAGGATCC